ATTATGTGTAAAGGTGAAGGTGGGTACATACCACACAGACATCAAAGGTTATGTGTAAAGGTGAAGACGGGTACATACTACACAGACATCTAAGATTATGTGTAAAGGTGAAGGTGGGTACATACTACACAGACATCAAAGGTTATGTGATCTAAGATTATGTGTAAAGGTGAAGGTGGGTACATACCACACAGACATCAAAGGTTATGTGTAAAGGTGAAGACGGGTACATACTACACAGACATCTAAGATTATGTGTAAAGGTGAAGGTGGGTACATACTACACAGACATCAAAGGTTATGTGATCTAAGATTATGTGTAAAGGTGAAGGCAGGCACATACTACACAGACAACTAAGATTATGTGTAAAGGTTAAGGCGGGCACATACTACACAGACATCTAAGATTATGCTTAAAGGTGAAGGCAGGCACATACTACACAGACATCTAAGATTATGTGTAAAGGTGAAGGTGGGTACATACCACACAGACATCAAAGGTTATGTAAAGGTGAAGGCAGGTACATACTACACAGACATATAAGATTATATGTAAAGGTGAAGGCAGGTACATACTACACAGACATCAAAGGTTATGTGTAAAGGTGAAGGCGGGTACATACTACACAGACATCAAAGGTTATGTGTAAAGGTGAAGGCGGGCACATACTACACAGACATCTAAGATTATATGTAAAGGTGAAGGCGGGCACATACTACACAGACATCTAAGATTATATGTAAAGGTGAAGGCGGGTACATACTACACAGACATATAAGATTATGTGTAAAGGTGAAGGCAGGTACATACTACACAGACATCTAAGATTATATGTAAAGGTGAAGGCGGGTACATACTACACAGACATCAAAGGTTATGTGTAAAGGTGAAGGCGGGTACATACTACACAGACATCTAAGATTATATGTAAAGGTGAAGGCGGGTACATACTACACAGACATCAAAGGTTATGTGTAAAGGTGAAGGCGGGTACATACTACACAGACATATAAGATTATGTGTAAAGGTGAAGACGGGTACATACTACACAGACATCAAAGGTTATGTGTAAAGGTGAAGGCGGGCACATACCACACAGACATCAAAGGTTATGTGTAAAGGTGAAGGCAGGTACATACTACACAGACATATAGGATTATGTGTAAAGGTGAAGGCAGGTACATATTACACAGACATCTAAGGTTATGTAAAGGTGAAGGCAGGTACATACTACACAGACATATAAGATTATGTGTAAAGGTGGAGACGGGTACATACTACACAGACATCGAAGGTTATGTGTAAAGGTGAAGGCGGGCACATACCACACAGACATCAAAGGTTATGTGTAAAGGTGAAGGCGGGTACATACTACACAGACATCAAAGGTTATGTGTAAAGGTGAAGGCGGGCACATACCACACAGACATCAAAGGTTATGTGTAAAGGTGAAGGCGGGCACATACTACACAGACCTCTAAGATTATGTGTAAAGGTGATGGCAGGTACATACTACACAGACATCTAATATTATGTGTAAAGGTGAAGGCAGTTACATATTACACAGACATCTAAGGTTATGTAAAGGTGAAGGCAGGTACATACTACACAGACATATAAGATTATGTGTAAAGGTGAAGACGGGTACATACTACACAGACATCAAAGGTTATGTGTAAAGGTGAAGGCAGATACATACTACACAGACATATAAGATTATGTGTAAAGGTGAAGACGGGTACATACTACACAGACATCTAAGATTATGTGTAAAGGTGAAGGCAGGTACATACTACACAGCCATCTAAGATTATGTGTAAAGGTTAAGGCGGGCACATACTACACAGACATCTAAGATTATGCTTAAAGGTGAAGGCAGGCACATACTACACAGACATCTAAGATTATGTGTAAAGGTGAAGGTGGGTACATACCACACAGACATCAAAGGTTATGTGTAAAGGTGAAGACGGGTACATACTACACAGACATCTAAGATTATGTGTAAAGGTGAAGGTGGGTACTTACTACACAGACATCAAAGGTTATGTGATCTAAAATTATGTGTAAAGGTGAAGGTGGGTACATACCACACAGACATCAAAGGTTATGTGTAAAGGTGAAGACGGGTACATACTACACAGACATCTAAGATTATGTGTAAAGGTGAAGGTGGGTACATACTACACAGACATCAAAGGTTATGTGATCTAAGATTATGTGTAAAGGTGAAGGCAGGCACATACTACACAGACATCTAAGGTTATGTAAAGGTGAAGGCAGGTACATACTACACAGACATATAAGATTATATGTAAAGGTGAAGGCAGGTACATACTACACAGACATCTAAGATTATATGTAAAGGTGAAGGCGGGTACATACTACACAGACATCAAAGGTTATGTGTAAAGGTGAAGGCGGGTACATACTACACAGACATATAAGATTATGTGTAAAGGTGAAGACGGTTACATACTACACAGACATCAAAGGTTATGTGTAAAGGTGAAGGCGGGCACATACCACACAGACATCAAAGGTTATGTGTAAAGGTGAAGGCAGGTACATACTACACAGACATATAGGATTATGTGTAAAGGTGAAGGCAGGTACATATTACACAGACATCTAAGGTTATGTAAAGGTGAAGGCAGGTACATACTACACAGACATATAAGATTATGTGTAAAGGTGGAGACGGGTACATACTACACAGACATCGAAGGTTATGTGTAAAGGTGAAGGCGGGCACATACCACACAGACATCAAAGGTTATGTGTAAAGGTGAAGGCGGGTACATACTACACAGACATCAAAGGTTATGTGTAAAGGTGAAGGCAGGTACATACTACACAGACATATAGGATTATGTGTAAAGGTGAAGGCAGGTACATATTACACAGACATCTAAGGTTATGTAAAGGTGAAGGCAGGTACATACTACACAGACATATAAGATTATGTGTAAAGGTGGAGACGGGTACATACTACACAGACATCGAAGGTTATGTGTAAAGGTGAAGGCGGGCACATACCACACAGACATCAAAGGTTATGTGTAAAGGTGAAGGCGGGTACATACTACACTTACATCAAAGGTTATGTGTAAAGGTGAAGGCGGGCACATACCACACAGACATCAAAGGTTATGTGTAAAGGTGAAGGCGGGCACATACTACACAGACCTCTAAGATTATTTGTAAAGGTGATGGCAGGTACATACTACACAGACATCTAATATTATGTGTAAAGATGAAGGCAGTTACATATTACACAGACATCTAAGGTTATGTAAAGGTGAAGGCAGGTACATACTACACAGACATATAAGATTATGTGTAAAGGTGAAGACGGGTACATACTACACAGACATCAAAGGTTATGTGTAAAGGTGAAGGCAGATACATACTACACAGACATATAAGATTATGTGTAAAGGTGAAGACGGGTACATACTACACAGACATCTAAGATTATGTGTAAAGGTGAAGGCAGGTACATACTACACAGCCATCTAAGATTATGTGTAAAGGTGAAGGCAGGCACATGCTACACAGACATCTAAGATTATATGCAAAGGTGAAGGCGGGTACATATTACACAGATATCAAAGGTGATGTGTAAAGGTGAAGACGGGCACATACCACACAGACATCAAAGGTTATGTGTAAAGGCCAAGGCAGGCACATACTACACAGACCTCTAAGATTATGTGTTAAGGTGATGGCAGGTACATACTACACAGACATCTAATATTATGTTTAAAGGTGAAGGCAGGTACATATTACACAGACATCTAAGGTTATGTAAAGGTCAAGGCAGGTACATACTACAAAGACATATAAGATTATGTGTAAAGGTGAAGGCAGGCACATACTACACAAACATATAAGATTATGTGTCAAAGTAAAGGCAGGCACATACTACACAAACATATAAGATTATGTGTCAAAGTAAAGGCAGGCACATACTACACAAACATATAAGATTATGTGTCAAAGTAAAGGCAGGCACATACTACACAGACATCTAAAATTATGTGTAAAGGTGAAGGCGGGTACATATCACACAGACATCAAAGGTTATGTGTAAAGGTGAAGGCAGGCACATGCTTCACAGACATCTAAAGTTATGTAAAGGTGAAGGCAGGTACATACTACACAGACATCTGAGATTATATGTAAAGGTGAAGCAATTACATACTACACAAACATCTAAGGTTATGTAAAGATGAATGCGGACACATACTGCACACATCCAAGGTTATATAGAGGTGAAGGCAGCGCTAACGAGCACTTTATAATATTGTTCGAATCCAAAAAGAAATATCTGGGTTACTTGAACTTTTAATAAAATTCAGACTGAAAACTTTTTCAAGCATGGTAAACTCTAAAATAGTTCCCATTGATACGAGAAGCATATACACTTTTTTTCAATTAATGTTGCAGGAAAAGAATGAAGTCAGTCTCGATTTGTTTTACTTTTCCTTTATTACAGTCAATTGACCTGTTTTTGGGTTCAAGGGATTCGAAACTTTCAACGTTGCTGATTGTCTAAAATAGATCAGAAGTAGAATTTATGTCCTCAAAAAGGATAATGAACTATTTCTATTGAAACTTTAAAGGCCTTAATCCCGGTGAACAAATAGTGTAGGAGTGTAGGTCAAAAGTCAAAACCACAATGACTTACTTTTGATATGCGACACACCGTCTATCCAAGAAGAACCCATAGCACAAGTATGAAGTTCCATGAATAATAGTGTAGAAAATAGGACGAGAGAGCGAAAGGACAGAAGGACAACGAAAAACTATTGTCCTTTCCGGTTCCGTATGGAGTACTTATAAATTTTTAAGTAACTGTGATAAACTACTACACATAATCACATACACAGACTACATATAATAACCAGCTTACAGAATACAAGCTTCAGCTACGACATTAATGTCCTACAGATATAAAAAATAAATGTTCAAAAAAAGTCAAAACAGTACCTACCTGATTGGTTGTGAGCCAGAACTAATCTTGCCCGTGTCTAAAATCAAAGTGAAAAATTGAGTGATAGATGTACGGACATTCCAACGACTCAAACGTATAATCGAAGGAAACATGCAACACAATGGGTTTACACGGAAATCCTTTAAAATGAAACAAAAGAAGAAAGATCAAGATTTTTTCATAGATGACATTTTTGATACAATAACCATATACTTGTAGCACCGCTCAACTTTATTCATGGAAAATATACGTCACTTCTGTATGAACATTTTCATTCCATCATTTTGATTTAATTGTTTCGAGACTTTTAAAAAATGATATAAGTTCCAAGTGCCTTTTTACACAGTCTTTTTTACTTAATTATCTAGTGACTTTTTACACAGTCTTTTTTATTTGATTATCTAGTGACTTTTTACAGTCTTTTTTACTGAATTATCTAGTGACTTTTTACAGTCTTTTGTACTTAATTATCTAGTGACTTTTTACAGTCTTTTTTACTTAATTATCTAGTGACTTTTTACACAGACTTTTTTACTTAATTATCTAGTGACTTTTTACACAGTCTTTTTTTACTTAATTATCTAGTGACTTTTTACAGTCTTTTTTACTTAATTATCTAGTGACTTTTTACACAGTCTTTTTTAATTAATTATCTAGTGACTTTTTACACAGTCTTTTTTACTGAATTATCTAGTGACTTTTTACACAGTCTTTTTTACTTAATTATCTAGTGAATTTTTACAGTCTTTCTTACTTAATTATCTAGTGCCTTTTTACAGTCTTTTTTACTGAATTATCTAGTGACTTTTTACACAGTCTTTTTTATTTAATTATCTAGTGACTTTTTACACAGTCTTTTTTACTTAATTATCTAGTGACTTTTTACAGTCTTTTTTACTTAATTATCTAGTGCCTTTTTACACAGTCTTTTTTATTTAATTATCTAGTGACTTTTTACACAGTCTTTTTTAATTAATTATCTAGTGACTTTTTACAGTCTTTTTTACTTAATTATCTAGTGACTTTTTACACAGTCTTTTTTACTTAATTATCTAGTGACTTTTTACACAGTCTTTTTTACTTAATTATCTAGTGACTTTTTACAGTCTTTTTTACTTAATTATCTAGTGCCTTTTTACACAGTCTTTTTACTTAATTATCTAGTGCCTTTTTACACAGTCTTTTTTACTTAATTATCTAGTGACTTTTTACAGTCTTTTGTACTTAATTATCTAGTGCCTTTTTACACAGTCTTTTTTACTGAATTATCTAGTGCCTTTTTACACAGTCTTTTTTAATTAATTATCTAGTGACTTTTTACAGTCTTTTGTACTTAATTATCTAGTGACTTTTTACACAGTCTTTTTTACTGAATTATCTAGTGACTTTTTACACAGTCTTTTTTACTTAATTATCTAGTGAATTTTTACAGTCTTTTTTACTTAATTATCTAGTGCCTTTTTACAGTCTTTTTTACTGAATTATCTAGTGACTTTTTACACAGTCTTTTTTATTTGATTATCTAGTGACTTTTTACAGTCTTTTGTACTTAATTATCTAGTGACTTTTTACAGTCTTTTTTACTTAATTATCTAGTGACTTTTTACACAGACTTTTTTACTTAATTATCTAGTGACTTTTTACACAGTCTTTTTTTACTTAATTATCTAGTGACTTTTTACAGTCTTTTTTACTTAATTATCTAGTGACTTTTTACACAGTCTTTTTTAATTAATTATCTAGTGACTTTTTACACAGTCTTTTTTACTGAATTATCTAGTGACTTTTTACACAGTCTTTTTTACTTAATTATCTAGTGAATTTTTACAGTCTTTCTTACTTAATTATCTAGTGCCTTTTTACAGTCTTTTTTACTGAATTATCTAGTGACTTTTTACACAGTCTTTTTTATTTAATTATCTAGTGACTTTTTACACAGTCTTTTTTACTTAATTATCTAGTGACTTTTTACAGTCTTTTTTACTTAATTATCTAGTGCCTTTTTACACAGTCTTTTTTATTTAATTATCTAGTGACTTTTTACACAGTCTTTTTTAATTAATTATCTAGTGACTTTTTACAGTCTTTTTTACTTAATTATCTAGTGACTTTTTACACAGTCTTTTTTACTTAATTATCTAGTGACTTTTTACACAGTCTTTTTTACTTAATTATCTAGTGACTTTTTACAGTCTTTTTTACTTAATTATCTAGTGCCTTTTTACACAGTCTTTTTACTTAATTATCTAGTGCCTTTTTACACAGTCTTTTTTACTTAATTATCTAGTGACTTTTTACAGTCTTTTGTACTTAATTATCTAGTGCCTTTTTACACAGTCTTTTTTACTGAATTATCTAGTGCCTTTTTACACAGTCTTTTTTACTTAATTATCTAGTGACTTTTTACAGTCTTTTGTACTTAATTATCTAGTGACTTTTTACACAGTCTTTTTTACTGAATTATCTAGTGACTTTTTACACAGTCTTTTTTACTTAATTATCTAGTGAATTTTTACAGTCTTTCTTACTTAATTATCTAGTGCCTTTTTACAGTCTTTTTTACTGAATTATCTAGTGACTTTTTACACAGTCTTTTTTATTTAATTATCTAGTGACTTTTTACACAGTCTTTTTTACTTAATTATCTAGTGACTTTTTACAGTCTTTTTTACTTAATTATCTAGTGCCTTTTTACACAGTCTTTTTTATTTAATTATCTAGTGACTTTTACACAGTCTTTTTTAATTAATTATCTAGTGACTTTTTACAGTCTTTTTTACTTAATTATATATTGACTTTTTACACAGTCTTTTTTACTTAATTATATAGTGACTTTTTACACAGTCTTTTTTACTTAATTATCTAGTGACTTTTTACAGTCTTTTTTACTTAATTATCTAGTGCCTTTTTACACAGTCTTTTTACTTAATTATCTAGTGCCTTTTTACACTGTCTTTTTTACTTAATTATCTAGTGACTTTTTACAGTCTTTTGTACTTAATTATCTAGTGCCTTTTTACACAGCCTTTTTTTATTTAATTATCTAGTGACTTTTTACACAGTCTTTTTTTAATTAATTATCTAGTGACTTTTTACACAGCCTTTTTTTATTTAATTATCTAGTGACTTTTTACACAGTCTTTTTTTATTTAATTATCTAGTGACTTTTTACACAGTCTTTTTTTAATTAATTATCTAGTGACTTTTTACACAGCCTTTTTTTATTTAATTATCTAGTGACTTTTTACACAGTCTTTTTTTATTTAATTATCTAGTGACTTTTTACACAGTCTTTTTTACTTAATTATCTAGTGACTTTTTACACAGTCTTTTTTTATTTAATTATCTAGTGACTTTTTACACAGTCTTTTTTAATTAATTATCTAGTGACATTTTACACAGTCTTTTTTACTTAATTATCTAGTGACTTTTTACACAGTCTTTTTTACTTAATTATCTAGTGAATTTTTACACAGTCTTTTTTAATTAATTATCTAGTGACTTTTTACACAGACTTTTTTACTTAATTATCTAGTGACTTTTTACACAGTCTTTTTTTACTTAATTATCTAGTGACTTTTTACACAGCCTTTTTTACTTAATTATCTAGTGACTTTTTACACAGTCTTTTTTTTACTTAATTATCTAGTGCCTTTTTACACAGTCTTTTTTACTTAATTATCTAGTGAATTTTTACACAGTCTTTTTTAATTAATTATCTAGTGACTTTTTACACAGACTTTTTTACTTAATTATCTAGTGACTTTTTACACAGTCTTTTTTTACTTAATTATCTAGTGATTTTTTACAGTCTTTTTTACTTAATTATCTAGTGACTTTTTACACAGTCTTTTTTACTTAATTATCTAGTGACTTTTTACACAGTCTTTTTTTAATTAATTATCTAGTGACTTTTTACACAGCCTTTTTTTATTTAATTATCTAGTGACTTTTTACACAGTCTTTTTTTATTTAATTATCTAGTGACTTTTTACACAGTCTTTTTTACTTAATTATCTAGTGACTTTTTACACAGTCTTTTTTTATTTAATTATCTAGTGACTTTTTACACAGTCTTTTTTAATTAATTATCTAGTGACTTTTTACACAGTCTTTTTTACTTAATTATCTAGTGACTTTTTACACAGTCTTTTTTACTTAATTATCTAGTGACTTTTTACACAGTCTTTTTTACTTAATTATCTAGTGACTTTTTACAGTCTTTTTTACTTAATTATCTAGTGCCTTTTTACACAGTCTTTTTACTTAATTATCTAGTGCCTTTTTACACAGTCTTTTTTACTTAATTATCTAGTGACTTTTTACAGTCTTTTGTACTTAATTATCTAGTGCCTTTTTACACAGTCTTTTTTTACTTAATTATCTAGTGACTTTTTACACAGTCTTTTTTTATTTATCTAGTGACTTTTTACAGTCTTTTTTACTTAATTATCTAGTGACTTTTTACACAGTCTTTTTACTTAATTATCTAGTGCCTTTTTACACAGTCTTTTTTACTTAATTATCTAGTGCCTTTTTACACAGCCTTTTTTTATTTAATTATCTAGTGACTTTTTACACAGTCTTTTTTACTTAATTATCTAGTGACTTTTTACACAGTCTTTTTTATTTAATTATCTAGTGACTTTTTACACAGTCTTTTTATTTAATAATCTAGTGACTTTTTACAGTCTTTTTTATTTAATTATCTAGTGACTTCTGTAGAAGTCATAGAAAGCTTATTAAAAAAGTTCTAGTGTTTATGGAGCTTTTTAAAAAAAATTCCCATTTGCTTCTCAAGTCATTATTCACGTTTGCAGTTCTTAGATGAAGGTCACTACACATAGACAATCAATTTCTGAAAAAAATTAATTGATTTGCATTATCCAGATTTAGTTTATTGTTTCTTCTTTTCAAAATTGCTCTCTTGGTATTTTTGAGCTCATTATGAAGTTCATATGACATACTGTGTTATTATACCTTTATTCACATTAAGCCCTAATACAAAATAATTATTATTCTCATAGTATTCTGGTACCGTATGTTAATCTCATTTAATTTGATTTTAGCTAGACCTCACGTGAAAATATCTTTATTTGAATATATATCTGTCAGCAAACTTTTGAGTCTATTTTTGGCTACAGTTAAAGGGTAACAGTTAAACTATTTTTCAAACGTTTAGATCTATATTCGTAGGTTATTTCAACTTCTCGTTTGAGTGAATAAAATCAGGTGTACGTACCCTTAACTGTAAGATGAGTTATGTCACTCCACCCACTAGCCCGTTTGTTGGTGACTACGGCTTGATACTGTCCACCGTCTGCTGTCGTGACGTTGCTGATAGTAATGTGTACAACATATTTATCTTTCCTATCTGGGCTAGCCGTGTACACGTCGTACGACATCTGCACGGGAAATTGTTCCTCGTTGTGGAGTAAACCAACATTAACAGGCTCTGTAGTCGAGTTAAAAGTAACTATCAAGGTGATCGAATTTCCAATTCTGCTGATAAATTCGTGTTGTTTCCAAACAACATGTGGTCTGTCCATCCCTGTTATAACATTTGTTAAGGTCCTGTAAGTATCTTACCTAGTATATTAGGTATGCCCTTATACCATATACTCATTAAAATACTCGCATGTGCCAGAAAATAAAGCATGATTATCAGAGTACGTTTTCACCATGTTGTTACAAGTTCCATACAACAGTATTTATTTACTTATTTATCTAAGAGTTAGACTACCAATGGCCTCCTTTTGAATAGAAGCACGTTCTTTATCCTAGCCACTTAGCATATACTGACACTTGTGTATGTTAATGTTCCTTTCACAGAGAATAGGAGACATTCGAGAATATTCATATATTGGTGGTGGCTATGTAGAAAACGTATGACATGATAGTTACGAGTGTTTGAGTAAGAATGTAAAACAAATTATTATCTGCAATAAGTGATAAATTTTCGGAAATCAAGCACACAACCGATTCTTTTTAGGCTAAACGTACTCAGTACGCATAGCCTATTGCGACGGCCTTTCAGACAAAATTTACCAATCCTGGCCTTCTCATTGGCTGAAATATCGTTAGAGTTAGAGCCCTCTAGCGGCAATTTTCAGCGTAAATAATGCCGCGATCTTTCAAATCGCTATTTTAAAAGCATCCAAAATAAGTTTATTTTTTTAATAACAATACCATTACTAAATATTTCAAAATATGCCATGACACTTTTTCAAGTTTTTCAAGATAAAAAGTTTGCGTTTCGTAGGCAAGGTACATTTGGTGTTCATGATTTATGAATAATATATTTTTAATGCTGTACTGATCATGATGTTGACTTTGTTATAACTTACATTTTTTTGTCTTTTAGTTTTATTTGATGAAGATTGATTGTGCTGATTTCTCAAGGTTTGTTAATGTGTATCAAAGTTCCTTGAAATGAAAATATTCCTTCAAACAAAGCGCGTATAAAAACCCAAAATATTCATGTTTATAATTCAATTAACTAGAACGAAATATTTCCATAACATATTTATTCATTTAGCGTGTCATGGTGGCATTATCTAATGCTTTGGAGATCAGAAATAGTAGTAGCTATAGTGAAAATATTGTAAATGTTGTATATGTATGGAAGTCTAATCTGAAAGAACTATGTCTTTATAGACATAATGACTGGAAGAAAAGTCTAACCATGATACTTCAAGGAAGATAGGCATGTAAATACATTTAATGTAATTACTTACACGTTAATCTATCTGAAATGCTGTGTACACCTTATCTACTTTCCTCAACTACAAATATGATTATAATAAGTAAGGACTATTACTTTGCAAGAAGTAGGTATAAAGTCCTTCCGATTTGTCTAAATCCTCATATTGATTGGATAGTAATTGCAACATCTTGGGTATTTCAAAGGATCTATTTAGTCAACTTCATCATAGAGCTATTTATCATTTGGCTTGTTGGCGATGAATATATGGTGGTGTGTATTTTATTTTTTTTTTATCTATTTTGATTTGTTCACATTATTGTCGTCAAATTTGAAATAAGAATTAAAGAAGATATAAAATCGCTTAAAATTAAGAAAAGTAGCCTCTGGTTCTCTTATTTCAGTAATTTTTGCATTCCAAAGTGTAGGAGTATGGGGAAAGTAATATAGCTTTGCGGTTATTTGTGAACATTTTTCAGTACGTTTAGCCTTTCAGTACTTTCAGTACTTTGATTTATCTACTCCTACAATCACACTAACATGGACAGCTTTCAACTATGACGTGCAAAGAGCGAAATAATATCGACTTAAAATATTAAGTCCCCAACACAATCTTTTGGGGAAATCAAATATAGAGTTGCGTTCGATACTTTTTTATTTACTTTGTGATTTTGCTGTTCTCAACTTAATTTTCATCATAAAAATAAGTATAAAATACTGGCTTGGATTTATCAATATTTGCATGACGAGAGTCAGTGATGAAATAGAAAAATAGAGAGTACGTATCATTCACTGGCTTGGGTTTACCAATATTTACATAACAACAAAGAATTTGTATCCTTTTTTTGATTAGGTTTACCAATATTTACATAACAACAAAGAATTTGTATCCTTTTCTTGATTAGGTTTACCAATATTAACAAAACAACTAAGAATGTGTTTCCTTTACTTGCTTGGGTTTACCAATATTTACATGGCAACAACGAATATGTATCTTTTTTGTTTATATTTTGCCACTGTCATACGATTCTGTGGATATTTTTACTAATCATTTTCCTCGCAATGCCAGACTTGTACTATTTGCTATCTAAGTATAAAATAAAGCAAAGATACCTCAAATTAGAAACCTTTTAAAGCCACAGCGGGTTTCCCTTATAATGTCTACAACTTTGTACATTATAAATAATCATTGTTTGTTACATACCCTTTAAGGCACCCTGTACTTCGCATACCGTGTCTGGGTGTTCATACCCGTAAACAGTATCCGCGGAGGAGAAGGGATGGTTGTAGTTATGTCGTCCCTCATCACAGGGGGTCAGTTTGTCGGCTTCTCCATTTCTATCACATATTATAAATGTTCCTATCGAAAGATAAACAGAAGCAATATTTATTCAGTAATTTCCTATATTTACTTCTGTGGTTTTCTTTTTTGACATGGTATACTTAATCAACCTGGCATGATTTTGTTTAAAATGTTAATAAGAGTTTTACCATTCCATCCATAAACGGGTTCACAACAGCGACCTAGCCCAATGTAGCCTTCTAAGAAGTGCCAGGTTGTCCCGGGTATAGCGTTAGAACAATTCCATTCGAATTCTATACGTGAACAATACGTGTCCGGCTGCACCTGAAACAGATGAATACATGTGGTGTGAAGGTACCGCCATCATATCTAAATGAATGAACTTCCAGGCTACTAGTGCATTACTTCACATTGGACTTTGTATTAGTTGTGATTTCTATTTATTTGTTATATATATCAGCAAAGGTCAATAACTCTCCTTTCATTAATAATTAGATATGATATGTTCCTAACATGAGTTTTCATTTCAACAAATTTCATTGACAAAGATGGTACAGTCAATGTGGATTGAATAACAGGCAAAGCCTATATAAATTATCTCCACGAAGCCAAAGTTAACAAAGTTTAAGAGTAATGATGTAAATTATATAATTAGAAATGAAAGTGAATTTATAAACACAGAAATGGAAAAAACAAGGAAAAACAAATAAAGGGAGATAATTCTCACACATCTCGCATACAATATGCACAATATATATATATAAATATAGTATACAGCAACCTACATTTGTATACACTTGCAATAACACATATCAATGATAAATTTTATATCAAATAGATTGACAGGTTGGCATTAAAATCCCATGTGCATTTGCACTGCCAATTCTGTCAATATAATTTAAATTTATTATTTTATTATGGTTTGTAGACTATACATAGTTAGTGTATATGGATTTGTATATTTCATATTCATCTGGTATCCAGTAATTGTCTGTCAATATTGAGTAAAGCATGATAAAACAACATATTTTCATATCATCCTTGCTATGTGTAGTTAAGATATAAAAAAGTTAAACCTTCTGGTCTGTCCAATATACAGCTGTACAGCTTCAAGTATATTTTATTAGTAAGCTCATTACAAGCAGAACAGCCTTGAGAAGAGTAGTTAAATCTACATGATTATGATGATTATTAAAGATTGAAACAAATAATGAATTTCTTTGCCAAGCTTACAAAGGACAATTCAGGAAGTAATGAGAAAATGTTTCATTTTCATATGAACAAGCACAAGAAGGATTATCCACAAGATGGTCACAATATAAATCATAATTTAAATTACTGCAATTATTTCGTAATTGACAGAGAACAATATTAGCTAGTCTATTGCCTTCAGTTTTGAAAATAGTTGAAGACACACATTCATTATTTAAGTCTTTGTTCAGATATGTCTTTAAAGCAGAAAGTAACGGAGAGCTAAGTATGTTGGGATTAGCTGTGTTAAATTCGCGTATGTTGTTCAGTGTGAGGTTGGCACAACCTTCTACCAAAAAACCCCACCTCAAAATTTCCCTGACTGTTCACGGGAAAATTATCCAAGCAAAAAAGCTAATAAACTGCCAAGACAATGTGTCTGCCATTTTGCGAGATTGCACAGCTTCGCATTACCTGTATGAAACAGGATCTATATCATTTATGCAAGAATCATTTCATGCTTGAGTACGATTGAACTGTGTGGGAGCGTAAAATACCATTCCATAACAAATTCCATTGAAATTGGCTTATTATCTGATACCATTCAATTATATTAGATAAAGCTATGAGTTCAACTTTAATTTATATACAATGCATAGGGCAATTTTCCATACGATTTGACGATGGCAAGTATCTTGGAAATGTTATCAGAGTGTAGGCAAATTTATCCTTTCCATTTAATCTCCTCTCCCTCATGTAAAAAGACTTGTCTAATAAAAGCTTTAATGCACATTTTGCAACAAAGATATTCATGAAAAAGCTGAAAATCTTCCGGTTTCGGATCTCTAGGTAGATAAATATATATTTATAACTCTGAAGTATTGTTTATAGATATAAATCGAATGTTGCTGAATACCACGACCCGGGCAACAGACTTGTTTTTATTGTTTCTCCTTCGTTGATAATTTGCCATTGCAGCAAGTACACTGAACAAATTTGGGAGTTTAGAGAGAAACAATCAACATTACATCGTAAGGTGATTAGTAGGATAATATCCAATCGATCCATTCATTATTATAGAAGCTTGTGGTTACATGTGCAGAGTCTCTCAAGACAATCTAAGAGGCAATCACTATAAATCAACACTTTCATAACATTAACATTTATTGTTGATATACGTACAGTAATGATAAAGCATTAGCATTAGTGATGTCAATCAAAGACGACTTTAATCTAAATTTAGACCCTAGGAACATATTTTAGAACTAGGACTTGGTATTATAACTACATGTATACGGAGACATTTAAGAGTCTGTAAAATGTTCTTGAAAACAGAAGCACATTTTCATCTATAAAAGTAATTTATATGGTAATATTAAAAAACAAAAATTATAAGGATGAAATGGTGTCGGCAAAAAACTCACAATTTTATCCACTTTTTAGCATAATGAAAGAAATACATTGTTTCTCACTTTATTATATCAATATTTATTATACTAATACATATTTACTTACCCTATTCCAATATTGGCATTAAAAGTAAGAAAAGACATTATGAAAGAGAGAGAGAGAGACATACAGAGACTGTTGTCTGGAAAAATATTTGTTGGTAAATGCACTTAGGAGTGATCATGAGAAACAATCGTAAATATATTCCATTACGTAGGAAAACGAGTGTAAAATAACGAAGAATAAAATTGTCAATTTTTCGTGTAATATATTCCATTTTGATATTTCTGTCGTTATTAAGCCTAATTTCGTTATTCTCACTATTCTTTGTATACTTACTGAAGGGTGGGTACCAGGTACGAAGTATTCGCATTTCACCTTAACAAAGAAATATACAATGAATCAAATAAATGAAGAATGAATTAAGAACGAGAGAACGAACAAGTAAATTGTAAAATTTTCGAGGCAATCTGCCCCTTATCAAGACAAAATTACATCACATATATACAGCATAAAACAAGACAAAGTTACAAACTACAATCCAGAATGACAATGTAAAGTAACTGGATGAGTTTTTATCACTGGATGTTACCATTATTGTGGTATCTATTTTATACATAGATAATTAGTATTTATCACCTGAGAGATGCTTTAAATTATTTTCATCTCTATAAAATAAGCGGATTATTATTATTTATCACTGAATAGATGTTAACTTTATTGTGATATATATAATATATATACACGTATATAATTAGTATTTATCATCGGAGAGATGTTATCATTATTATGATCTCTATAATATACATAGATAATTAGCATTTATCACTGGAGGGATCATGCCGTCTACATTCATGTATGCAATGGTTAATCAGTATATTTTTTATGACCCACAGATAGATACCAATTCTCATTTTGTTTGTTTTTGTTTTTGTTTTTTTTTTAATATTTTGGCAATATCAAGCAATTTAAGTTTTTGATATCCTCAGCCAACAGGGATTTTGCTCACTGTCTCTCGACATTCCTGAACCTTTCATAGTAGAATATAATTAATATTGCAAAGGAACGACACTCAACTTTGAAACCAGAACATTATACTGTTATGAGACAGCGAGTTTTGTTTTAATGTATATTACAGGACCAAACTAGTCTCCTCGTCTTATTTGGACATCGAACATTCAATTTTGCCATGAAATATTTCAGGGGTGCAGAGAGCGATAGTGGTCATGATACCTATAGTATTGAGGATGAGTTAATGATAAAACTAGTGTAGTTTATACTGTCGTGTGACACAGACTGTAATATGAACTTTGCTCTATGCTTTCTCACCTTATTAGTAGTATTTGCCAAAGATACATGTAATGTCACCGTAATCAGGCTGACCAACTGCCATGAACTCATATCACCCCTGAAACAAAACATACGTTCTCAGTAAAGGGTGAAAAATATGAACAGAGAAACATAAATCAATCGAAATAAGATCTTCTGAGCCGTAAAAATACTGGAATCAAAGCAAACCAAGCAAATGTGGTTAATAGATGCTAAACAAACCGATGTTGTCCGTTTTTGAACAAGGTATTTTGTCATAGGTTAGTCAACAGGGAGATGGCGAGTCTTCTCTCAATCTTCTATTTTTATACTAACCATTTGTTCTAAATATAGCGCAGGATTTTCTAATAACATCTATTTTTAGACGAACGCAATACTATAAGGGTGTTGATACCCCTCACAAAATCGTAAAATATATTAGTCCTACTAATGTACTGAATTACAGAATTGCATCATTATCACAATGGGTCTTGGTCTCGTTTAGCAAATGAAATAGACATACTTCATTGACACATCTATTCTATAAATAAATCTCCTCACCCGCTCCATTAACTGTATGATCTTGGATTCAGATATGTAGGATATTTACCTTATGATAGTTGTTGTAAACTAGATCCCTTTAGAGTTGTTAATTTGGCAGCTTTGGGGAAAGTGTCTACTCAGGCCAATGGAAAGTTAGTTCAACCACGGACTTATATACACAACCGTGGTTCAACTTTGTAGGTAGGTAATATGACAGCGGTCTGATTTATCAACCCGGATCACAAACATATGACGTCACAGGCTTTAGTATTGACAGGCTACTGTTTCTTCGGTCTGGTACTAAAACGAAACGCTCTGCCGTTAAATATTTTTACGAAATAAATTAGGATTGCCATATTGAATCTTGTAAATATTGGGGTGGGAGTCTATACATTATGTTATACATGATTTGTTTATATTTTGACGCCAAATTTCCCACCTAAGTTCAGTATGAATTTAACCATATGATGTTCCTGCTTGAAGGCCTATAATGAACCAAGCTGCTTCTTTTTGTGCCGATTTAAGTAAGCCTCTAGAATGCTGTTATTCTGTACTATGTAAGTATATTCCATAACTGGCCGAATAAATTAAGTACCAATGGTAAGTAATACATTTCCTATTTACTTCAATTTTAATATGACGAAAAATTTTGAGTTTGTTATAAGGGTTTTTTCAGGATGTTTTGTTGTCAGAATCTTGATGTCAAATGGAACTGGGCAACATATATAGCCTATGAAAGCCCCCTCTTACGTATACGTGTACAGATACGTCAATCAAATGATTAAATGATATTGAAAACACTGAGATAGAAAAGTTGAATTAAAATACAATTTTAGAAACTTTAATAAAATAGAAACACTACCATCAGCTATACAAACCCCTAAGAAAAGCATAGACTATTGAAATATTTTCTAACGTGTCCAAAGACACGTAGCTGTATGGTGTCTAAAGACACGTAGCTGTATGTTGTCCAAAGACACGTAGCTGTATGTTGTCCAAAAACTTGTAGCTGTATGGTGTCCAAAGACACGTAGCTGTATGGTGTCTAAAGACACGTAGCTGTATGTTGTCCAAAGACACGTAGCTGTATGTTGTCCAAAAACTTGTAGCTGTAAGGTGTCCAAAGACACGTAGCTGTATGTTGTCCAAAGACACGTAGCTGTATGTTGTCCAAAGACACGTAGCTGTATGTTGTTCAAAGACACGTAGCTGTATGTTGTCCAAAACCTCGTAGCTGTATGTTGTCCAAAGACACGCAGCTGTATGTTGTCCAAAAACTCGTAGCTGTATGGTGTCCAAAGACACGTAGCTGTATGGTGTCCAAAATCTCGTAGCTGTATGGTGTCCAAAGACTCGTAGCTGTATGGTGTCCAAAGACACGTAGCTGTATGTTGTCCAAAACCTCGTAGCTGTATGTTGTCCAAAGACACGCAGCTGTATGTTGTCCAAAAACTCGTAGCTGTATGGTGTCCAAAGACACGTAGCTGTATGGTGTCCAAAATCTCGTAGCTGTATGGTGTCCAAAGACTCGTAGCTGTATGGTGTCCAAAGACACGTAGCTGTATGTTGTCCAAAAACTTGTAGCTGTATGTTGTCCAAAAACTCGTAGCTGTATGTTGTCCAAAGACACGCAGCTGTATGTTGTCCAAAAACTCGTAGCTGTATGGTGTCCAAAGACACGTAGCTGTATTGTGTCCAAAGACACGTAGCTGTATGTTGTCCAATAACTCGTAGCTGTATGGTGTCCAAAAACTCGTAGCTGTGTGTTGTCCAATTATTCGTAGCTGTATGTTGTCACAAAGACAAAGCGTTGTATGATCTAAAGATTCATCACTGTTTGCTGTCCAGAGACTCGTAGCTATATATTTGTATACTTAATAGACTTGTGAAGTGTATGGATATTATGTTCTGATAAGTGAGGAACTAAAATTTGATTTACTATATAATTGGTCAAATTTGACAGTCTTGTCTAATCTTTTTACTAGTAAATATTTTGTAATGAAATGAAATGAAAATATTTTTTTCGTTATTTTTCTTGTAATTGTTTTTCCATATAAACTTTTCTCATCGGAGAAACGACAACCGAAGATAGTTCACTTATAGATCTATATATCTGTTAAAATGATATTTCAATCCTGGCCTGTCTCACGATCATGATTTCCATTGTTCAATACGTTCGACAAAAGCTGTATTTGATTACGGTTCAGAATATACCCACAGAATTGTGTATTTTTACGTGATTTCTGGACCAATTAAATATAGAATTTCACTGAGTAATGAGAATTTTTTTTATGCGATAGCTGTTGGTCAGCTCATAAGAATGCAAAGTCATCCTTTGGGCAGTTTTGCCGACAGTTATTAGTTCCTATAATTTGGATTCCAACCACTTCGAAATTGTCAATTTTGTTCTGGATTTTCATAAGAAATGAGTTATTTACACAATAGTCAGAAGAAATGCAGGAGGGATGAGCTTCTGCGCAAATGTCATTCTGATTAAGACGTAGCAGCTGAATTGATTACCATTTGTAAGGAGAATTAAGGAAAAGATGAATAAATTATCATAATCATGAAATCAACATATGGGTCAGTTAGGTATATAGTCAGGTGCATTTGTTCTCACATTATAAAGTTAACTAATAGAAGAGGAATTAACAGTTAGCCGTATCGACAGAGCTATTCAACTCGGTGATGTATCAGTGGTCGTATGGAAATATTGTAATTTTGATACAATTCTCCAACAGTGATCAAACAAGTCATTCTGTGAGTTTAGTCTGTAAGTAATTCTGTGAGCTTAGTCTGTAAGTAATTCTGTGAGTTTAGTCTGTAAGTAATTCTATAAGTTTAGTCTGTAAGTATTTCTGTGAGTTTAGTCTGTAAGTAATTCTGTGAGTTTAGTCTGTAAGTAATTCTGTGAGTTTAGTCTGTAAGTAATTCTGTGAGCTTAGTCGGTAAGTAATTCTGTGAGTTTAATCTGTAAGTAATTCTGTAAGTTTAGTCTGTAAGTGATTCTGTGAGCTTAGTCTGTAAGTAATTCTATAAGTTTAGTCTGTAAGTATTTCTGTGAGTTTAGTCTGTAAGTAATTCTGTGAGCTTAGTCTGTAAGTAATTCTGTGAGTTTAGTCTGTAAGTAATTCTGTGAGCTTAGTCTGTAAGTAATTCTGTGAGCTTAGTCTGTAAGTAATTCTGTGAGCTTAGTCTGTAAGTAATTCTGTGAGTTTAGTCTGTAAGTAATTCTGTGAGCTTAGTCGGTAAGTAATTCTGTGAGTTTAATCTGTAAGTAATTCTGTAAGTTTAGTCTGTAAGTAATTCTGTGAGCTTAGTCTGTAAGTAATTCTATAAGTTTAGTCTGTAAGTATTTCTGTGAGTTTAGTCTGTAAGTAATTCTGTGAGTTTAGTCTGTAAGTAATTCTATAAGTTTAGTCTGTAAGTATTTCTGTGAACTTAGTCTGTAAGTAATTCTGTGAACTTAGTCTGTAAGTAATTCTGTGAGTTTAGTCTGTAAGTAATTCTGTGAGCTTAGTCTGTAAGTAATTCTGTGAGTTTAGTCTGTAAGTAATTCTATAAGTTTAGTCTGTAAGTATTTCTGTGAGCTTAGTCTGTAAGTAATTCTGTGAGCTTAGTCTGTAAGTAATTCTGTGAGTTTAGTCTGTAAGTAATTCTATAAGTTTAGTCTGTAAGTATTTCTGTGAGTTTAGTCTGTAAGTAATTCTGTGAGTTTAGTCTGTAAGTAATTCTGTGAGTTTAGTCTGTAAGTAATTCTGTGAGCTTAGTCGGTAAGTAATTCTGTGAGTTTAATCTGTAAGTAATCATGTAAGTTTAGTCTGTAAGTAATTCTGTGAGCTTAGTCTGTAAGTAATTCTATAAGTTTAGTCTGTAAGTATTTCTGTGAGTTTAGTCTGTAAGTAATTCTGTGAGCTTAGTCTGTAAGTAATTCTGTGAGTTTAGTCTGTAAGTAATTCTGTGAGCTTAGTCTGTAAGTAATTCTGTGAGCTTAGTCTGTAAGTAATTCTGTGAGCTTAGTCTGTAAGTAATTCTGTGAGTTTAGTCTGTAAGTAATTCTGTGAGCTTAGTCGGTAGGTAATTCTGTGAGTTTAATCTGTAAGTAATTCTGTAAGTTTAGTCTGTAAGTAATTCTGTGAGCTTAGTCTGTAAGTAATTCTATAAGTTTAGTCTATAAGTATTTCTGTGAGTTTAGTCTGTAAGTAATTCTGTGAGCTTAGTCTGTAAGTAATTCTGTGAGCTTAGTCTGTAAGTAATTCTGTGAGTTTAGTTTGTAAGTAATTCTGTGAGTTTAGTCTGTAAGTAATTCTGTGAGCTTAGTCGGTAAGTAATTCTGTTAGTTTAGTCTGTAAGTAATTCTGTGAGTTTAGTGGGTAAACTACAAGTAAACAATTCAAATTCCTCTTGTCACATAGTTTGCAATATTAATGTAATGTAGTATCAACGATAACGAACTTTTCTTGTTTAATTTGCGCCTCATCTTACCTTGCTTGTTAGCTTGTGCTGATAGTAGGAAACTCTAGCATGCGATGAGCAGGAGAGCATGTCCGTAAATGAAGTGATGGTACCAACGTAGATGAGGATCGAGTTGATACAGGTGGATTAAAGTTAGATCATCTTGTTCAGAGGAAATACAATACAGTGAAAAGATCACCGTAGACTGGTCATTTACTATAGGGCAACAACAAGATACTCACTTACTAAAGATATTGAATAGGAATTTCCAATGTTCTTACACATGTTATTGATACGGTTTCAAATACTGCCAAAATTTAATTGCGTGCGTAAACTAGCATTAAAGCATCAAATCAGGACAGGATACGGATAAACAAGGAGACAACTAGTTTGCTACTAAACAGAATGTATATGTAAACATGTATCATATTGTTGGACCTTAAAGTGGGTGAAAATTTGTGTGTTGACGATATTGTTTATTTAAGTGATGTGAACAGTGATCGTTTGTTGTATACTATAAAAGAGGACCTTGTAAATGTTCGTGGACGCATAATCTGTCCCTGTGTTGTCATCCCATGTAGATGTATGGCGTTGATCACAGTGTCCGAGGAGGACAAACAGCCAGTTTCCTTCTGCATAGGTATTTACCTACAAATCCATCGTATAAAGAAAGGTCCTTTGCTCTGCCGTTTATCACTTACAAGGTATCCATTTATTTTAGGTTTCAATCAAGCTTTGTCATTCAATAGTTTCAATACAAACTGTTTTCGGATAGATAGCGTATCGTATTGCACTAAATAAGGGACTTGTCCAGAGGCTATAATGCGAGAGACGAGATGGAGGTCAAAATGTTTCCACGTCAGTTCTTCATTGTTCCATACTGTCCATAGTGTCTTCGTACTGTTATCGCAAATATTGACCTTTATTGGCACTTAGCGATGATACCTTGTAAAGGGGCTTTATCAATTCATGAGGAGCCTTTTTACTGTTTGCTTAATATTTGCTTAAACCAAGAGTGCTTAGACTTGAATCTTATAGCATAGGCGGCATTTATAGAAAATATTTTGGCCAAAATATATTTCATTAATTAGCAGATTAAGCCGTTCTCAATTTTGGCAATTAACTTATACATTATGATAAACAACCATCTTTGTATGTTACATAAAGACTAGGTAATTGTCACCAATCATTTGCCAGGCACTCATCGGTGAGAACAGATTTAACTTTGGATATCTATTTGTGTTCCAGTCTTTAATTAACAAATTCCATTTCAAATGAACATTGAAATAATCAACTGAAATGCATACCGTTAACTATGAATATAGGAAAGCAGCAATATCCACAGGTCCTATTAAAGAAGAGCCAGGTCGTTACTTTTCTGTAGACAGAACAGTCGAAATCCCGTATGGGTGGACAGAATGATTTTGGCTGGTCCTAGTAAAATCGAAACTCAAGTTCATAACAGTACGATATATATGCTGTATGGTTTTTTTTAATTTCAGATGCAGATATAATACAGACAGTGGCCATGTCTAGACTTGTTACAACCGACTGAAATGACCTATCTTTTTTCTTTTCATTCAATTTTAATAATTTTTTAAGTAGGTTTTTGTATGTCCTAATAGCTGAGCAAATCGGACATATCCATCAGTTCAACAGTACACTCCCAAGCAGACTGGGGTATACACGTGATCTGATTTTATTATATACAGAGTATTATAATTTTCATGTTTTACAAATTGAAGAAAAGTATTCTTGTCCCAATCTATTTAATCATATTAATACAGAACAATAACCCATTACTTGGTATAAAATATTTGAGATCTACGAATAGCACTAACAATCACAATGACTAAAGCGGTGTAGCAAGAAGCATATGCAAATGTAAAGTCATAAATGATGATACTTACAGCATATGAAATGTCTATTGAAATAAAACAACCCAGTCCTCATTCATAATGAATACACAAATTCTTGAAAACTGTAATTTCATTAATGATAATGTCGCTTCAGATCAAGTAGTGAAACACTAGTGATGTACTTACAGGCTTAGTTCGGGGCCGAAGGGTCCAACTTCAACCACAGACGATATTGCCTAAAGAGACAAAATATAACTTGATATTATTGACTGTAGCAGACTTATATATAAGATACATATATTTACATATACATTATATTTATTTTTCTATATCCCCAGCGAGCTGTAATGTGTGTAGTTGAGCAGTCTTCTGACTTTAAGACATAATAAATACAGCAATAGTTGCATTGGTAGTGCGAACAAGAACTAGATATAATTAAAATTATTCTAAATTCATATGTTACTTTAAAATAATAGAAGGTACTACGGACCATCTTAGGATCATTCCAGGCAAAATTGAGCTAAATCCCACTGGTGAAGCATGAGAAGAAGTTTAAAATATTGTGTAATTCACAAAAAAAATATTACGCAATCATCTTATGGATTTGCTGTCATGGAGAATTTTGACAGGACTGATGTTTTATTTTGACAATTGCACTCGTCGAATATGAAATGTATTTCTCTAGCTAGAACACATCCAAAGATCATTCCTGGCAGATTTCCAGAAAATCCCATTGGTAGAAGATCGAGATGTTTGTTGTGTATAATAATGGATGTTACGCAAATCTTGTGTCCCCGAATTGACCAGAAATGAGATGATAGTCACCTTGAATTTTGAAACTACCAAAACTACATTTCAACCCATGTTTAACTCAATAAAATCTAAAAACTGGAACTTGAGAAAAAGTTTAAAGAGTATACGTTTTATTGTTGACAATGACCGGCATATTGGAAACTGGACTTAAAATATTACGTTTCTTGGGCAGGGCCATCTCATGATTATTCCAGACAATTTTCAGCTAAATCCCATGTGGAATCATGTAACAAAATGGCGATTCTAGCTTTCATGTTGATTTGGCCATATCTATTTCAAAAGCACCCGATTCCTCTGATGTAATTTGTAAAGTTTTAGATGTGAATAATTACGTAGAATACATTAAATAATAGGCAACAATCTTTAACAAGTCGATACTTGACAACTTGCGGTGGATGCAGAAAATGGGGAAGTATTTATGGTTTTTGAGCCAACATGTCGATAAATAATGAATTTCTATACAAGCTTTCTGTTTTTCGCATGTTTTCATTTCGTTAAAAAATATGACATTTCAGTCTGGATTTAAATGTTACTCGTACAAACTTATTCTGGAAGGTATCTTCCGAAGCTGGGGTGAACCGTTTAGTATATAAGCCGTTCGATATAATTCGCTCTGCTATTCGAAAATTCATCCAATGTGAAATGGGTTTTACCAGGAGCAAAGGATAAATGAGTGCATGTAACTATCAGACAATTACCTGGGGTATTGTGAAAACGATCACCAAGGCCACTCTCACCATCCACTGTATCCGCCACATCCAAAACTTTGCCACCTGTTGTGTTCTTTCAATTTCAGATATTGATGACATTTATATAATATTTTCTTAAAAGATTTCAAATTGGTATATTTCCCTGCAAAAGAAATACATATCATGAAGAATTGTCAGTATGGGTTTCACTAATCCACTAAATATATTGGATTTCTTTGTTTTTCACTTTTTACTTGGTTGTACATGTAACGAGATGCAGGAAACAAAGCGAAGTGAGATATGATTTCATTGGTTATGGCTCAGGGAATTCGGGAGAAGTGTTTGGTAGTTACTTTTGGACATATAAGACAAAAAGAAAAGAAAGACAATTGTTCGTACCAATTGTCTTACATATTTAGATATTAGTGCTTTTCATTGAATAACAACCAGTAATGCTTAGAGACACAACTAGTAAAGCTCTCATTAGCAAATACGGCAGTCACAATACCAACCAAAGAAATTTTGTCCAGAAACTAATCTTTATATTGTTATAGTTTGTAGTTCACTAATAGTTCTTAAGTGTTTCAGACATTACTAGTGTTAAACCCATTAACACGTAATCACAACCAGCAATCTATATACTGATCCTGAAACATTGGCAATCAGTTCTTGAAAAATACATTCGTATTTCCTTGCCTTGGTCAAGTAAAGAATACATATCATTAACGATAGATAGAAGCTGGTTGGCTGGTGAGTCGCCATGTCTTAAACCTAACTGGAAAGGTGATGATAAGGAATGGCCAAGTATGAATTTAAATTTATTTTCGTACAATTAATAAAAGAGAGTTGGGCCTGTAATTGGTGAGAATAGACTTGTTCTTATTAGGGCTTTTCACTAACTTGTGAAAAGACCTATTGTTTTTGTTATGTTTCTTATTCGGGCTTTTCACTAACTGGTGAAAAAAACTATTGTTTTTGTTATGTTTCTTATTCGGGCTTTTCACTAACTGGTGAAAAGACCTATTGTTTTTGTTATGTTTCTTATTAGGGCTTTTCACTAACTGGTGAAAAAAACTATTGTTTTTGTTATGTTTCTTATTAGGGCTTTTCACTAACTGGTGAAAAGACCTATTGTTTTTGTTATGTTTCTTATTAGGGCTTTTCACTAACTGGTGAAAAGACCTATTGTTTTTGTTATGTTTCTTATTAGGGCTTTTCACTAACTGGTGAAAAGACCTATTGTTTTTGTTATGTTTCTTATTAGGGCTTTTCACTAACTGGTGAAAAAAACTATTGTTTTTGTTATGTTTCTTATTAGGGCTTTTCACTAACTGGTGAAAAGACCTATTGTTTTTGTTATGTTTCTTATTAGGGCTTTTCACTAACTGGTGAAAAGACCTATTGTTTTTGTTATGTTTCTTATTAGGGCTTTTCCCTAACTGGTGAAAAGACCTATTGTTTTTGTTATGTTTCTTATTATTAGGTGAAAAGACCTATTTGTTTTGTTATGTTTCTTATCTTTATTAGGGCTTTTCACCCAAAGGTGAAAAGACCTATTGTTATTGTTATGTTTCTTATTCGGGCTTTTCACTAACTGGTGAAAAAAACTATTGTTTTTGTTATGTTTCTTATTAGGGCTTTTCACTAACTGGTGAAAAGACCTATTGTTTTTGTTATGTTTCTTATTAGGGCTTTTCACTAACTGGTGAAAAGACCTATTGTTTTTGTTATGTTTCTTATTAGGGCTTTTCACTAACTGGTGAAAAGACCTATTGTTTTTGTTATGTTTCTTATTAGGGCTTTTCACTAACTGGTGAAAAGACCTATTGTTTTTGTTATGTTTCTTATTAGGGCTTTTCACTAACTTGTGAAAAAAACTATTGTTTTTGTTATGTTTCTTATTCGGGCTTTTCACTAACTGGTGAAAAGACCTATTGTTTTTGTTATGTTTCTTATTAGGGCTTTTCACTAACTGGTGAAAAAAACTATTGTTTTTGTTATGTTTCTTATTAGGGCTTTTCACTAACTGGTGAAAAAAACTATTGTTTTTGTTATGTTTCTTATTCTTATTAGGGCTTTTCACTAACTGGTGAAAAGACCTATTGTTTTTGTTCAGTTTCTTATTCTTCTTATTCTTCTTTTATTCTTCCGTATTTTGTGGAGTCACTATCTTAGATGAGTGAAAGTTTATAAATAAGGTCTGAAGGTGTTACAGGAACATTTTCAAATAGGTCAAATATCCAATATGGCTGCCATGACGTCATAAGTTAAAAACTTAAAAACGGCAATATCTCGAAAACCATTGATTGTACAGAGTTTGTGCAATAATACTATTTGTAGAGAATTTCCATATCTAACTTTTTCTCATGCCATATTAATACAAAATATGTCAAATAAAAAAGCTCGCTGTGGGGTAAAATTTTCAAAATTTAACAAATTAAAGAACGTCCTTCCGATGAATTTAGTTTTTCCAGTCCTTCTGAAACGTTTACCATTTCCGCTGTACGCCATTTTGAAAATTTTCTTTGATCTTTTAAAAATGCCGGCAAATAGGAAAAACTCGTTCTAGATCAATATTGAGGGGCTATATTTTATCAAATTGTTACTGAGAAGATTTCCCCAAGTGTCTTCTACCATTTAATGATATTTACAAATTCATCGGAAAAACAAAATGGCCGCCATGACGTCATTTCCGGTTTTACCTAAAATGCCGTAACTCAAGAACTGTTTAAGCTAGTGCCCTTTTATTTCATATTATGTAAATTAAAAAAAAAAACCACTTTCCACCAGAAAATACTGGGATCAAAGGACAACTTCTGGTTTTCGGTAAGGGTCAAAGTTCAAAAGTGTTATTTTCAGTTACAAAGTTTGACAAACTTCTTCTCAAGTTCTGCAAAATCTTGAATCTTGATATTTCATGTGTAAGATGTCTGTTTAATTATCTATCAAGTTTGTTAATATAAATGACCTTGCCCAACTTTCAAAGTCACAGGGGTCAATTATGTAAAAATCGTTAAATGGCAATTTCTCCATTTTTAAGCAGCCCAAAGTCTTCAACTTTGGACATAAATATTCTGTGGACATTTCCTGTCGATTGATATAAGAGAAACGTACCTCAAAATTCAACTTCCGGTTTGCGGTAGGGGGTCAATGTTGAGAAGTGCTATCAAGGGTACCAATCTTTGAGAAACTTCTTCTCAAGTTCTGAAAGGCCTAGAGACTCTATATTCCACATATATGAAGCATATGTAACGGGCAACAAAGTTTGATAATATAAATGACCTTGACCCACTTTCAAGGTCACAGAGGTCAATTAACTAAGAGTCTTTAAATGGCAGTTTCTCACTTTCTAGAAGGCACACAATGATGGAAATTAATTATAAACCTTCAGGGGACACGTCCTATTGATTGTCATAAGAAAAACTTTCCTAAAAGTTCAATTTCCGGTTTTCGGTAGGGCACAAATTTCGAAAGAGCTATTTAGGGTACAAATCTTTGAAAAACTTCTTCTCAAGTTCTGGAAGGCCTAGAGGCTTGATGTTTTGCATATAAGAAGCATATGTAACTGGCAACAAAGTTTGATAACATAAATGACCTTGACCCACTTTCAAGGTCACAGATGTCAATTAACTAAAAATCGTTAAATGACAGTTTCTCAATTTCTAGAAGGCATACAATGATGAAAATTAATTATAAACCTTCTGTGGAGTCTTCCTATTGATTGTCCTAAGAAAAACTTCCCTCAAAATGTTAAATATTGGTTTCCGAAAGGGGTCAAATTTCCAATATACAAAATAGGGTACCAGTATTCAACAATCTTCTTGTCAAGTTTCCCTTGGTCCAGAGAACTAATATTTTGGATATATTGATCATCAGATGTTACATTATAAGGCTTGCAAATATGAATAACCTTGACAGACATTCAAGGTCACAGGGGTCATATATGTTTGAACCTTTAAAAAGTGTATTTCTACGTTATTATGTAGTTATATCTCAACGTTTCAAGATTCAAAGTTCATCTTTGGATATGTTGTAGAGATTAACAAACCAGGAAACTTTCTCATATATTGTTATCAGGATAAATGTCAACTTCCGGTCAACTTGTTGCCAAAGAAGTGAAAAGCCTGATTTATTAAAACTTAGATGATAACAAAAGATATCTGAGGCTTCTTTGAGTATGGCGTCAGTGATAGTTATATTTATTGTTAGTAAATGTGCGTTAGTTTTATCGTCAATAAAAGGAATATTTATTTAAGAATCATCGAGTGTAAAATGCGATTTGACTTACCCTAGTCCGCTGCTACTACCCGGATATCAATTAGTTATTTTAGGCTGAGCTAATTTCCTGGTTAAGACCAATTTCGCTATGTCACTTCAAAATTATTTTCTTCCTTTAGTGTTCTTAAACTTATTATAAGCATGAAACTTGCTGTAATCCTAATTCCATACTAAAATTTCAATTAGTCTAACTTTTTCACTAAAGTTGGTAAACTATCGTTCTTGACGAGGGTATTACGAGCGGAAATGAGTCATTATAAAAAAGGATCCGAATCCAGTGTTGAAAAATCAGGAAAATAATTATCTCTGACTGACAATTTCTGTGCAGTATGTCGTAGTTCTAACATTACAGTTGGAAAAAAACTGTTGCTTATAATTTTTTTTTGTTCCGTAACTATGGCAACACAAACATATCAAAGATACCAGCGCTATAGAAATAAATAATTTCCACTCATTAAGGTAAACTCTTTTAGGTTGGGAAGTATTTAAGGTTGTTAATATCAATTTTTAAAATGTGGAATCAGAAAAACTTATTTCCCTATGACCCAAGCATGTTTCAAACAGAATTGGGACAAAATCTAGGCATTTTACTGAAGAATTTTAAAGATTTCATCCTTTTTCCCATATTGGGCCCCACCCCCACCCCTCCCAATCCCGCTGGTCAACACCTACCATTTATACATGATTGATTCCCTTTAATCGAAAGATGTTCTAGACCAATTTTGGACAGAATCTTGTAATTGTATACAGAAGGAAATATTTAACAAGAGGCCCAAGGGGCCTTAACGGTCACTTGAGGAATATATGTCAATAATCTGGGGATTTTAAAATGTTGCAAAAATGTAACAACACTTGTGCAGGACCATGTGTAAAACATCTGTACCAAGTTTGAACATGACCCACCCAATGGTTCTTGAGAGGAAGTCCATAATGTCTTAGCCAAACTGAGGCCAGGGTGGCCATCTTGGATTTTGAATCGCCCCAAAAAGTTAAAACACTTGCCAGGACCTTGTGTAGAACATTCCTACCAAGTTTCCCCTTTTTCCCCCTCCTGGGGCCCCTATTGGGGCCACGCCCTTTTTCTTCGCAAACTTGAAGCGGCTTCCCATGGGGATGCTTTGTGCCAAGTTGGTCAAAATCCATCCACTGGTTCTTGAGAAGAAGTCATTTAATTAAGGTTTTTACATATGGCCCCTTTTACACCCCTTATGGGCCCCAAAGGGGACATAATCACTTTTTTGAACATAATTTCATATGTACTTCACTAAGGGATGCTTTCTACCAAATTTGGTTGAAATCTGTCAAAGTTGAAATTTTGACCCTTTTGAGCGCCCCCTGGCGGGGCCGTTTTTGACCCGATTTTTTTTTTCATTTGCAAACTTTGTAGACCTTGCCATAAGGACCCTAAATATCAAATATGAATTTAATCTGACTGATGGTTCATGAGAAGAAGATTTTTAAAGATTTACCTAATTTTACCCCCTTTATCCCTCCCTGAGGCCCCTATTGGGGCCACGCCCTTTTTCTTCGCAAACTTGAAGCGGCTTCCCATGGGGATGCTTTGTGCCAAGTTTGGTCAAAATCCATCCAGTGGTTCTTGAGAAGAAGTTGAATATGTGAAAAGTTAACGCACGACGCATGACAACAGCCTTCCGCTCAGGCGACCTAAAAAGCTACTATATTTCCCCAATTGGGCCGTATCCCTCACATTCAAAAATGCCCCTAGAACTAAAGTTGACATAAAATTGATTCCTCTTCATCCAAGGATGCTTCACGCCAATGATTTGCTCCTTTTCCAAATTAGGGTCCTAACCCTCTCCCAAGAGGTGGCTCTTTACTCAAGCTGTGTGGTATTTAAATGGACTACATCATTTACCGAGTGTTTACAGCTGATTATAAATGCATTATCTTTTGCATTACTGGTATTCAAAGTCTTAATTAATGAGGAGACATTTTAGGATTTAAACAAATTTGACTCCTGCCACCTTGAATACGGGTCAAAGTTATTTCTTGTTGGGTTGGAAAACATGACAACTAAACATCATGATTCTATGCTCTCTGGTTTACCTTGAATGGTCATTTTCCAAAGGATTTAACAAATCTGACCCCATAACTTTGAATATAGGTCATGGTAATTTCTTCAAGCTATGTAGAGTTTCACATTTTCAAGATTTTTCATGAAAATCTTTAGTTTGAATAATGATTTTATTTTGAAAAGTCTTCAATATTATTTTAATAGCAATAGCAAAATGTTCAATCCTTGACAACTATGTGTAAATTATACCTACCCCGGTATGATACCTACACAAATTTAATTTCAAACAAACAAGAATGGTTCCTTGGAGGGGCTAAAATCAAGGTGAACATAGATTCACATTCTACTTCTTACTCCTATCAGGAAAAATAAGTGATTGATTTTTGATCAACTGCCAATGACCCTTAACACTCATATTGTCATTCAACTTCTTGAGTAGGAGACCATTTAAAATGGAAGCTTCTTGTCTTCCAATGGCTAACCTCTACTGTTGGAAATCTTATAAATTGGCTAACATCAACTGTTGGAGATCTTTGAAACGGCCAATCCCTACTTTTGGAGGTCTTTACAATGGCCAGCATCTACTGCTGGCGATCTCTGACATTACCAATTCCTACTGTTACATATCTTTGAAACGGTCAATCCCTACTGATTGAGATCTTTGAAACTGCCAATCCTTACTGTTGAAGATCGTTGAAATGGTCATCCTCTACTGTTGGAGATCTTTGAAATGGAAACTTCCTTGTCATCCAAAGGCCAACCTGTATTGCTGGAGATCTTTGAAATGGCCTACTTCTGCTGTTTGAAATCTTTCAAACTGCTAACCTCTACTAATGGGGATCTTTGAAATGGAAACTTTCTATCATCCAAAGACCAATCTCTACTGTTTGAAATATTGGAAATGGCTAATCTCTTCTATTGGGGATCTTTGGGATAGAAACTTCAAAAATCCAACTTCCCAAGTTGAAGATCTCTGAAATGTGGAGTAGCCCTTCTTGTCATAAAAAGGCCAATTTTTCAAGTTGAAGACCTTTGAAATGTAGAAAAGCCATTCCTGTCATCAACATGCCAAATTTACAAGATGAAGATCTTTGAAATGCCAAATAGCCCTACTTCAATTCACAGCCAAAACATTGGTTACGGAAGTAAATAAATAAAGTTAAGAAAATTGTGTCGATATCAGGATCAATGACTTTGATTCAATTAAAAACAATTAAGGCAAGGTGACCCCCTCTGTATTGGTGTCCAAGACTTGACATTCATGCATGATTTAAATATTCTGTAAACAAAATTATCAGGGTCTTAGGACAAAGAGTTTATTATCAATGCTAATGATTTGTAGTTTTTTATTACAAAATACAATCAAAACATTCATTTATTCATATTTTATTAGTTAAAAAAAGAGATGTTTTCACTGAAATAAAAACAATCATTGCCTTTGTCAGTGGTAGGCATGATTATTTGCCCATCCTTGAGATGTCATGTTACACTGAATCTGTTCCCTCAAGAAACCAACACCTCTCATATGGCGAACTTCCCGACATCCCAGAATAATAGCGGTAATTGTATTATATTGATCCAATATCTCATGTTGTAAGGTAAAACACTATTTCAGATCTCAAGCATGATGAAAATATATCATATTACCCCTGTAGAGAATTTGTATCTTAGTACCAAGTCTTTATTGATTCATTTGCCTTTAACAGCATATGAATTTATATTAAAATATCACACTTCATAGATCATCTGAATATGATAAAGAATTTTCAGGAAGTACATAATATTTTCAAATAAAAGGAAACTGAAATTGAAGTTGTACAACATCCATGATTTAAAATGTGTAACTAAAATTGAAATAAACATGGGAATATCAGATAACTTTTACAGGATAATAAAACATCACCTTCCCAATCACCACCATTCACTATGTAGCCTGATAAATCATGTAACACCTCTGCCATTAAATCAGTACCTGTGGTCCATATCTCTCAAAGAAATAACAATTCACTTCAGCAATGTTGACAAATTTTCAAAATGTTCCATATTCCATGACTGAATTCTGTACTTCAGCATAACATATTAATAAAAATTGATCACTGTTCCAGCTACAAAGTCTGAGGTTGTTTCCTCCTATCACTTACAAAAATATTGGAATGGGGCAGCTGCCCGCTGTCTCTTTCTTGCTTCCATTTGTGAAAAGAATTCTCTGATATCTTCTGCTTTCACAACCTAAAAAACATCATCAGAAAGTGATCATACCGACTCACCATAACATGCAACTACAATCATTACAATTTATCAACCAAAATTTTACTATGAATATTACTATTTAAACTGTGCACTGAATACCTCAATAACTTTATATACATGCAGGATATTTTGAATACCAGGGACTGAAATTTTATTGATAGAAAATTAAAATACCTTTCCATCATCAGCAAACTTTTTCAGATAAGTACTCAGCTCACTCTTCATGTCATTGAACCCTGTTTGAATTGAATAAAATCACTACATGTATAATGTGTATGTTGCTGTGGAAAACTTCTACACAAGGTTCACCTTATCTAAAGAAGGAATTCTCTAAAACTCTTCCTTTTCCTCAGTAAACTTACTTACTACTTACAGTAGACTCACTTTTTGATACACAAATGAAAATAAAACCAGAAATTTCAACAAGACGTTAAAAGTACTTTCTGTTTAATTTAACACTCCAGTGGTCAATGAACAACTGTCATCCCTAAGGATAACCTGTATCCCTGCTAGTGTCTAACAACAGCTGTCATCCCCAAGGATAACTTGGTACCCCAGTGGTGTCTAACAACAGCTGTCATCCCCAAGGATAACTTGGTACCCCAGTGGTGTCTAACAACAGCTGTCATCCCCAAGGATAACCTGTACCCCTGCTGGTGTCTAACAACAACTGTCATCCCCAAGGATAACAAGGATAACCTGTACCCCTGCTGGTGTCTAACAACAACTGTCATCCCCAAGGATAACTTGTACCCCTGCTGGTGTCTAACAACAGCTGTCATCCCCAAGGATAACTTGGTACCCCAGTGGTGTCTAACAACAGCTGTCATCCCCAAGGATAACTTGGTACCCCAGTGATGTCTAACAACAGCTGTCATCCCCAAGGATAACATGTATCCCAGCGGTGTCTAACAACAACTGTCATCCCCAAGGATAACCTGTACCCCAGCGGTGTCTAACAACAACTGTCATCCCCAAGAATAACTTGTACCCCCTGGTGTCTAACAACAACTGTCATCCCCAAGGATAACTTGTACCCCACTGGTGTCTAACAACAGCTGTCATCCCCAAGGATAACCTGTACCCCTGCTGGTGTCTAACAACAACTGTCATCCCCAAGGATAACTTGTACCCCTGCTGGTGTCTAACAACAGCTGTCATCCCCAAGGATAACTTGTAACCCTGCTGGTGTCTAAAAACAACTGTCATCCCTCAGGATAACCTGTACCCCTGCTAGTGTCTAACAACAGCTGTCATCCCCAAGGATAACCTGTACCCCTGCTAGTGTCTAACAACATCTGTCATCCCCAAGGATAACCTGTACCCCCTGGTGTCTACCAACAACTGTCATCCCCAAGGATAACCTGTACCCCTGCTAGTGTCTAACAACTGTCATCCCCAAGGATAACCTGTACCCCTGTATTGATTAGTGACAAATTTAAAAGGAACTGATAAAATTTTAAGATTTCAGTCAACAGTTGACCACTTTTATCTGTCAGTTTTCATCACACATGACATTACCTGGCAACACCTTCACCACACACTATAGTATCTGATATCTTCATTGTGCAGTGACTGCATCCGTCCATACCTCACAATGCAATGCCTGCTTCAGTCAACACATTCATTCAAAAACACCTGTTTCTGTAAGCAGGGTGACCTTTACCAAAATACCTGTATGTTTATATCTTCACCACTGAACTGTATTGTTAAACACTTTCATCACAAAACACTTGAATACATATCAACATCTTCATAACAATACCTGTGTGAGAACACACCACCTGTATCCATGCACACATTCATCATACAGCACCATTGTGAGAACACACCAGCTGTATCCATGCACACATTCATCATACAGCACCTGTGTAAGAACACACCACCTGTATCCATGCACATATTCATCATAGAACACCTGTGTAAGAATACACCACCTGTATCCATGCACACATTCATCATATAACACCTGTGTGAGAACACACCACCTGTATCCATGCACATATTCATCATATAACACCTGTGCAAGAACACACGATAATACTATTATTGTACAACGTCATCATATAACACCTTATCTGTCAATACCTGTATCTTTCAATACCTTTATCACAAAATACATGTATCTGTTCAGATCCCCATCACATATTTATATACCACATATACATCAGTTCACTGACCTTGTATAACCTCAACCTGTTGTATGCGGTCCATACTTGACAGAGCCTGCAGTCCCTTGTCATACTGGGAGGATGGTGTCTGTTTATCTTTACCTCTCTTCTCATATGCTGTTACTGTGTCTGACTCATCTATGATGAATGTTATTCCTCTGTCTTTATACATCTCCTACGTAATGAACAAATACTAGGCATCTAAAGTTCTTAGAGAGATCTTCGCGTCCACTATTGATATTTATAACCTTTATTGATTCTATAGAAGACTTCTTTCCTCTTTTCTTCTCTCCTACAAATTGTCTCTAAGAAAGATCTAACAAGAACTTTCAAAGAAGTCATGATAACAAGCTTCAACTTTCACAGTCCAAAATGTTCTCCAGTCAGTCTAAAAATTGAATGGATACAACTCGGACCAAGAGGAACATATATATTAAGTTTGAGAAATACCTTTCAAGTCCTTCTCAAGAAATAACAATAACAAACTTCAACTCTTAAAATCCAATACGGCTGGTCAAATTCAAAATTAAATGGGAACAACTAAAGAAAGAGGGGATCCTACATAAGAAGTTTGAGATATATCCCTCCAGAACTTCTCAAGAAATAGTGATTACAAACTTTTACCATCAAATCAATGATGGCTGTCACTCCATTATTTGTATAGAGACCGAGGGAAAGTCTGAAAAATATCCATCAAGCACTTTTTAAGAAACAGTCATAACAAGGATTGTTTACAGACAGACCACAGATGAAGAGTGCTTTGAACAGCCCACCATTTGATGATACAGGGCTAAATTCATTTGAATACTGACCTTACTTGGTAATACTGTTCTTTAAATTTTTCATACATTGGTTATTGTTTGTTTTTTTATAAATCTTGTCTTCTGTCTGTTTTCTGTATATGTTCAATTGTTAGTATTAATCAGCAGAGACTCCATACAGTAAAACAGCAGGGTCATGGTGCTAGTATTGCTTTGTAAATTAAAAAAATGTAGCAACAGGTTGTAGTTCCATATGGCAACCTCAAAATGTTTAGTTAATAAACTGACCATCTTGATCCTGATTTCGTTAATTATGTCAGGTTGCTTCCATTCAACTTCAAAAGAGCCTGCACAGGAATTTTCATCTAAATCTTGCCTACCTGGTTTAGTTCAAAAGTCTTTCAGCTAAACTAAATGAAAAGTATTTTAAACATTCAACTGTTTTCCCTTCATTCAACGATGCTTCAGACTTTTGGACAAAATCCTGAAACTCATACAGAAGAAGGATTTTAAAGAACGAATATACTGTTTCCCCTATTAGACCCTGCCTGACCCATCTTAGGGAGTTGAGAATCACTGTTTAAACAAAATTAATTCCCTTTCACCCAAGGATGCTTCAGACAAAATTGGAACAATCCTACAAAAGAAGAATGATTATTAAGAATTTGCTGTTTCTCCTATTGGACACTGGCCCTTCTGCCCCATTACTCCTCATTACCCAAGGATTATACAGACAAAATTGAGACAGAATCCTTGTATTCTTACAAAAGAATTTAAAAACATCTGCTATATTTTCCCTATCTGACCCCACCTCTCCCCATCAGCCTCAGGGGGTTGAGACCCACCATTATACATTATCAAATCCTTTTCACAGAAGGATGTTTCAGACCAAATTTGGACAAAATCAAATTATTCCCGAAGAAGAAGAAGGATTTTAAAGTTTATGCTAAATTTTCCATTTTGGGCCCCTGATATTACAGGCCCAAGAGAAGTCAAACCCATTGTTTATGCAAAAAAAGATTCCCATATGTAAATGAGTACCCTTCCCCCAAAGGATTATTCTGAACAAAACTGGTCAAAATCTGCTCAGTCATCCATGATCAGTAGTGATATGTAGAATGGTGAACAGATAAACAGACAGACAACCATTGCTGCGGTATGTCATCAGCGAACTTGGATCTTCAGGTTTGGTGACAAAAACAACCCATATCAGTGTTAACACCATGACCTTCTATATTTTAGAACAAATAGTGCCTGGTCATAGCATAGAAACTCTGGTGTTTGTATATACTATCTATATCTTGACAAGACATTGCCATTACCTTACAGCATGGACATACACACAGCTTATTTCTCCATCCAGCCTTCCAGAAGGTGGAGCAATCTCTGGCTATCACATCCCTACTCTGTAACTGTTTCAGAAGACAAGAAGGGGCTGCTTCTTGCTTTGGATCCCCAGACTTTTCAATCTTGGCTTTCTTCATCACCGGTTCTGTATCACAGTTATTGGCCTAAAACATTCAATACCTAACCTTTACAACGTAAAACATGAATCCTATCACAACCTCTACATTAGCCATACAACATGTGTTGCTATCTACTGTTGTCTATCTAGTGTCCCCAAGTATAGTTGTCTAACAGATATCACGATATATTGTTGTCTTTCAGATTTCACTAGAAATTGTTGTAAAATACTCACTTCTGCATCCCCTTTACATGTAGGCAGTGATGTCTCTGTGCTCTTCTTTTCCCCTCCCTTTGGACTATCATTGCTCCTCTGTTTGCCTCCCACCTCAACAACATCTGTACTATCATCTGACTCAATTTTCTTTGTTTCTTTGAAGGATAAGAATATACACAATAGATTATATACCTCAAATGGTCACCTGAGAATGGGTAGTATTTGTTCGTCAAACTTATCTTGGGTTACCGAGTCAATACTCATGATCATAACTGTATTGTGATCAAAATAAATTGCAGGAAAATAGTCTTTCAACATCATTTTCATAAATTTTCAAGTGTCCATATGTATATATATATAATTATTGGTTAAACACATTATCTTGTGACAGTTAAAAACACAAGGAATTACTCTAGTGTCAACATGTTAATCTCACAGAAATGCAGATGCTCTCTTCTCATTTCAGTGAAGATCATTCTTTTACAATACTTGAAAGTTGTTTCAGGTATTAAATTGATAAATGCAATTATTTAAACAGATCTCATATAGATGTATGGATTTTGATGAAAATTAGAACTGTCATCTAGAAGATAACTAATACCCCACTGCCAATGCAATGACTTCACATATCAATTACTGGGAACATATTGTGTCAGCATTCATTCAATCATTTGTTTAGATCCCTTCTGAATCCCAGTGAAAAGGTGATTAAAGAAATCAATATTGTATTTTTTAAATTTCTCTGGAATAGAAAAAACAGACAAAATCTAAAGAAACATGGTGGATTGAAGATGGTTAATTTGAATGCAAATACTGATGCTCTTAAACTGGGGTGGGTTAGGAGACCATATAACAAAAAAGGGAAATAAAAGGCAATGTTGAAAGACAAAATTGATATGGATGTGTTGATGAATATTGGTAGTGAATATATATCAAAATACAGTAATATATGTATTTAACAACTTTTGGAAAGACGTGTTTAAATATTTGTACATATTGAATAATTCAAAAGAAATTAAGAGATCTTGAGGAAAGATCAGTGTTAACCCAAAATATTTGGCAAAATAAAAATCAATCTGGGTATACATCAGGAATACACACTCAGATCTGATCAAGAATACAGATAGCGTTTTCTTCTATACCTCTGAAGAACTTTCAGAAAAATATCAACTTCATACAAATTTTCTTCAAGTTCATGGATTAATATCTGCAATTCACAAAAATGTCTACTTGATCCTTCACCAATTAACTTGAAACCAGTTATTTGCCCTTTCTTACTTCCAAAAATAAAGATATTTTTGCAAAAACTTCTGGATCCAAATTTTTCTTTAACATTTTTAATCAAAATAACATCATAGCTTCTGGTACAATAAAATGGCTAGAACAATTCCTGTTTGATTAAAGAGGATGGAATAAAATTGATACAGTTCTGTATAAAGTCACAAAAAATACTAAATTTCAATGGCTTCAATTTCAAATATCACACTATAAATTCTTACCACAAATTCAAAACTATTGTAATTATAGTTGTTAGTCCACTATGTTCATTTTGTAATTCATAAAGGGAAACTATAAATCACTTAATGTGGGAATGCCAGGGAGTACAAAATCTACCACAAAGTCTAGAAACTCTAAAACACTCCTAGATGATCTTTATATACCCTTTTCAATCAATAATCAATCCTTCCTATTTGGAATTAATGACAAAAGTCTTAATTTTCCTGTTGATAACATAATCATTCTTATCATTATACAATATATCTAGAGAAACAGATGTCTTAAAAGGTCCGTAAATGTCAACGTTTTACTCAACAATAAGAACGATTACTATGACTTACAGAAGTATATAACAAATAGTAAAGATTACTTTTTCGATCTAAAAATCTAGAAATGGAGTAAATGGAAAAACCTTATTCAGCTTGATATCTAAACATTTTCAACTAATTATCCTTGACATTCCTTAAGTAAAACAGCAAACAAACAAAAAAACCCATCTCACATCTCCAACCCTCTTCTTCTAATATTTCTTTTCCACAGTTAGCAAGTTAGCAATGTCTAGTATTTTTCTACTCTTTTGTCTTCACTTTCATTTCTCTACATATTATATTCTGTGATATGCAAGTATGTAAACGAAGTATATTTTTGCATAATTTATTATATTGAATGTGTTTATTGTGTGTAAGCATGTATCAGTATGAGTATTTATGTGTATGTGTCACTATTAAATGTAAGTGTTGTGTGTACATGGGATATCTCTGGACAGAGGATAAATTTGGGGGATAGCTCTAGACAGAAGATAAATGCTGAGGATATCTCTAGACAGAAGATAAATGCTGGGGATATCTCTAGACAGAAGATAAATGCTGGGGATATCTCTGGACAGAAGATAAATGCTAGGGATATCTCTAGACAGAATAAACACTAATAGGCTGGTACCTTGACTGTAGAGGTTGTACGCCCAAAGAAAGTCAAACTTCTGCATACATCCTGTGCATACCATTTCTTCAAAGTCTAATGGTATGTCTTTGTTTCCAAGATGCTGTAAGTAAAAAAAAAACTTCAATATATGTAGAAATATTCCTGTCTGAATGTTGTTTTGACTGTATAATCTAGAAACATATATCCAGTTATGAAAATGCTACAACACCAGTCAAATCAACTTATATAGAAACATGGTATCACTGAAAATACTAATCCTCACAATCAGCTGATTGTAACAGGTTTTTTTCATGATTTTTATAATTGATCATTCCAGGGGGATTGGTGTAGTGAGTGAAACATACAAAATTAAGTTGAAAAGAATTTTCAATTTATTGCAACTGTGAATTTAACTTAAATCAACATTTAAACTTGAAAAGCAATCCAAAAATAAAAGATACTTCAGCTACTTCCCCCACCTTAGTTTGAATAGTATACAACTACTGAGAAAAAATATAGTATATACCCGTCCATGGTACCAGTCTTCACATATAACACATTGTATCATCTCGTCCTCAATCTGAAAACACACAACAACCAATGAGTTTATTATAATTTAGGACTGTGTGAATAAATTACCTTTGGTTAAACATGTATTTTTATCAACAACGAAAAGTCCTGGGCCTTAACAGCCCATACATGATATATTTTTTCCACAGGACTGATTATTTATTGAAAGAAGAAGCTTTTAAGTTCTCAAAACTGTTTATATCTGTGACCTTGAAAAAGGGTCAAGATCATTCATTTGAACATTCTTGGAAGTCATTCATCAATTTATTTTAATGAGCAAATATATAGTCTGGGCCTTTGGATATACAAAAGAAGTCATTTGAATATTTCAAAACATTTGACTCCTGAGACTTTAAAAATGGGTCAAGCCAATCATCTGATCAGTCCCAAAAGCAAACAAGCACAAGGAGAGACCAAAGGGAACATATGTATGAAATTTGAGAGATATCCATTCTGTACTTCTTTAGAAATAGCAATAACAATATCTACTAGACAAAATCCAAGATGGGCACCTGTGGGCCATTTTGTTTTTCTGATCAGTCACAAACTCACACAGGCACAACTAGGGACCTAAAGGAACCTATACATGTAATTGTAGAAAGATCTACAGAGTAGATCTCAAGAAATAGTGATAACAAACTTGCAAAGTTAATCTAAGATAACCCCCTGATGACCATTTTGTTATTCTTGATCAGTTCCAAAATTAAATGGGCACAACAAGGGACAAAGAGGAACTTATATCTAAGAAAGATCCATTAAGTACTTCTCAAGAAATAGTGATAACAAACTTTCAAAGTAAAAATCCAAGATGGCTGCCTGTCAGCCAGTGTTTTTTTTCATCAGTCCCAAAATCAAACAGGCACAGATATGGACCAAGGAGAACCTACGACGGATCACAGACACAGAGCAATTTGAATAGCCCACCTTCTGATGATGGTGTGCTAAAAATGTCTCCAAGACATAAATACCACTGTCACCAAGAATTTGACCAAAATCTGTCCCAGCATGAAGGTGTTTACAAATGTCCAACCCAACCCCCATGTCCATATCCAGCTATTGCATGTAAACATATTTAATATGAGACATAATGGATGATGTGCACTTCATAAACAAAAGAATAAAGATGATGTAAGCACATGCTCATGATATTCTGTAACAAAACCTCATTCAAGGTGAAACTGATAATGAGATGTTATAGAATATCTGCCAGGACATATTTCATACTTGATGCAGACTGCACAACTCCGTCACGAGATCTGGGTGTGGTGACATCAACTATACAGTCTATATTCCTCACCTATGAATCAGGGTAGGATCATATACACTACACACTATACAGACTACACACCTCATCCTGAGTAGTGTTATACACACTATACAGACTACACACCTCATCCTGGGTAGTGTTATACACACTGTACAGACTACACATCTCATCCTGGTTAGTGTTATACACACTATACAGACTACACACCTCATCCTTGGGATCTGGGTAGTGTTATATACACTATACAGACTACACATCTCATCCTGGGGATCTGGGTAGTGTTATATACACTATGCAGACTACACACCTCATCCTGGGTAGTGTTATACACACTATACAGACTACACACCTCATCCTGGGTAGTGTTATATACACTATACAGACTACACACCTCATCCTGGGTAGTGTTATACACACTATACAGACTACACACCTCATCCTGGGGATCTGGGTAGTGTTATATACACTATACAGACTACACATCTCATCCTGGGGATCTTGTTAGTGTTGTATACACTATACAGACTACACACCTCATCCTGGGGATCTAGGTAGTGTTATATACACTAAACAGACTACACACCTCATCCTTGGGATCTGGGTAGTGTTATATACACTATACAGACTACACACCTCATCCTGGGGAGTTAGGTAGTGTTATATACACTATACAGACTACACACCTCATCCTGGGGATCTAGGTAGTGTTATATACACTATACAGACTACACACCTCATCCTGGGGATCTGGGTAGTGTTCTATACACTATACTACACAACTAATCCTGGGGATCTGGGTAGTGTTATATACACTATGCAGACTACACACCTCATCCTTGGGATCTGGATAGTGTTATATACACTATGCAGACTACACACCTCATCCTGGGGATCTGGGTAGTGTTGTATACACTATACAGACTACACATCTCATCCTGGGGAGTTAGGTAGTGTTATATACACTATACAGACTACACACCTCATCCTGGGGATCTGGGTAGTGTTCTATACACTATACTACACAACTAATCCTGGGGATCTGGGTAGTGTTATATACACTATACAGACTACACACCTCATCCTTGGGATCTGGATAGTGTTATATACACTATGCAGACTACACACCTCATCCTGGGGATCTGGGTAGTGTTGTATACACTATACAGACTACACACCTCATCCTTGGGATCTGGATAGTGTTATATACACTATACAGACTACACACCTCATCCTTGGGATCTGGATAAAGTTATATACACTATACAGACTACACACCTCATCCTGGGGATCTGGATAGTGTTATATACACTATACAGACTACACACCTCATCCTGGGGATCTAGGTAGTGTTATATACACTATACAGACTACACACCTCATCCTGGGGATCTGGGTAGTGTTTTATACACTATACAGACTACACACCTCATCCTGGGGATTTGGATAGTGTTATATACACTATACAGACTACACACCTCATCCTGGGGATCTAGGTAGTGTTATATACACTATGCAGACTACACACCTCATCCTGGGGATCTGGGTAGTGTTATACACACTATACAGACTATACACCTCATCCTTGGGATCTGGATAGTGTTATATACACTATGCAGACTACACACCTCATCCTGGGGATTTGGGTAGTGTTCTATACACTATACATACTACACACCTCATCCTGGGGATCTGGGTAGTGTTATACACACTATACAGACTACACACCTCATCCTGGGGATTTGGGTATATATACACTATACAGACTACACACCTCATCCTGGGGATCTGGGTAGTGTTCTATACACTATACATACTACACACCTCATCCTGAGGATCTGGGTAGTGTTATACACACTATACAGACTACACACCTCATCCTGGGGATTTGGGTAGTGTTATATACACTAAAAAGACTACACACCTCATCCTGGGGATCTGGGTAGTGTTCTATACACTATACATACTACACACCTCATCCTGAGGATCTGGGTAGTGTTATATACACTATACAGACCACACACCTCATCCTGGGGATCTGGGTAGTGTTATATACACTATACAGACTACACACCTCATCCTGGGGATCTAGGTAGTGTTATATACACTATGCAGACTACACACCTATATACACTATACAGACTACACTCATCCTGGGGATCTGGGTAGTGTTATACACACTATACAGACTATACACCTCATCCTTGGGATCTGGATAGTGTTATATACACTATGCAGACTACACACCTCATCCTGGGGATTTGGGTAGTGTTATATACACTATACAGACTACACACCTCATCCTGGGGATCTGGGTAGTGTTATATACACTATACATACTACACACCTCATCCTGAGGATCTGGGTAGTGTTATATACACTATACAGACTACACACCTCATCCTGGGGATTTGGGTAGTGTTCTATACATACTACACACCTCATCCTGGGGATCTGGGTAGTGTTATACACACTATACAGACTACACACCTCATCCTGGGGATTTGGGTAGTGTTATATACACTATACAGACTACACACCTCATCCTGGGGATCTGGGTAGTGTTCTATACACTATACATACTACACACCTCATCCTGAGGATCTGGGTAGTGTTATACACACTATACAGACTACACACCTCATCCTGGGGATTTGGGTAGTGTTATATACACTAAAAAGACTACACACCTCATCCTGGGGATCTGGGTAGTGTTCTATACACTATACATACTACACACCTCATCCTGAGGATCTGGGTAGTGTTATACACACTATACAGACCACACACCTCATCCTGGGGATCTGGGTAGTGTTGTGTACACTATACAGACTACACACCTCATCCTTGGGATCTGGGTAGTGTTATATACACTATACTACACAACTAATCCTGGGGATCTGGGTAGTGTTATACACACTATACAGACTATACACCTCATCCTTGGGATCTGGATAGTGTTATATACACTATGCAGACTACACACCTCATCCTGGGGATTTGGGTAGTGTTCTATACACTATACATACTACACATCTCATCCTTGGGATCTGGGTACTGTTATATACACTATACAGACTACACACCTCATCCTCAGGATCGGGGTAGGGTCGCACACACACACAATACAGCCCCTTGAAATTCTGGTTGTATTTGTTCCGAGCATTTGAGGGATCCTTTGTCTGAAATGATGCAATTGACAGAAAAAAGTAGCCACTAGTAGCAAATAAGATATTGTGATTCAGACAAATTTGGTTTAACTTTGTCAAATTTTGTCACATGATTATTAATTAAATAATCAAACAATGTTATAGAGCTTAATAGGTGATATAACATGGTGTACTGTATAAAAGAAAGGAAGTTAAATTTTAATCACAGTTTTTTATCTCACATTTAATTCCTTGAAATTGTAAGAAAGGATCAAAAACCAAACCTGCGCAGTTGGTAATTCATTGCTCATAAACCATGATTCAGAAGGTTTATTAATCATGCTTAATAGGTACAGCTTTCTGGACTTACTGGATATAACTTGCATTTGCTGCCAGGAAACTTGTCATTACCACAATCACATCTAAAATTTCTGAAAATAAAACAGATTAACTAACAATAATAATATAATCTCAAATTTTCTTCTGTTTGTACAGTACCTGAGTTACACACATTAAAAACATTTTCATGTTAAAAGTTCAGTAACATTAATCGTAATTACATTGTACTGGTATTGGTGTGGAAACTTCACTTATTCTGGTATTAGTGAGACAAGGGTAGAAATTTGAGCTAATGTGTATATCGGCCACATGCATCCACCTTGATCACATATGCACTAAAATGATTCAAAACAAAGATAGGTTCTTTTTAAGATTTTACTAATATCAATTTCTCATATCTTCAGCCAAGCTAATATCATGCACAATTTCCTTTTTCAAATATTCATTTACAAATTTCACAGTATTATTTAAGATGTCTCGGTTGTCCTGTATCTAAACCAACAGCTACTTGCCCAGAGAATTAAATCTTTGGGAATTATACCATAGTTGTATCAACTCATCCTCTGTTCTTCAACCTTTTGTATCAATGTATTCCAGAACTTTTAACCATGACTGTTTCCATTGTTCTTTTTCAAAATTTTAATGTAAATGATATGCAACTTCAAATCAATATTGCCCCTTACTCGCCATGTTTGTTGTAGAATTTCAAGTCCTTGGATGAATGAGTTGCTTACTAAGTACACAGACAACAAATAAACAGTACTATCATACAAGTTGTACGTCACCTTTTGGTGTAGAGTTCACAAAGATCATGGCCTTCATGGCACTCATAACTGCAGGCCAAACATATCCCAGCTTGTCCATTACATGTCAAACAGGAATAAAGGGCCTGTCTAGGAATGTATCCCTGCAATATAAAAACATTCTGTCACTATCTTTCCCTATCAAAATTTCACTTCCTCTGCCCTGAGCCAATTTACTTTCGAAAAATGCATCAGAACCATTTTCCATTTCCTTCCTGTAGGACACCCACTTACTTCCAAATAAGCACTGTGGTATGTTCAATATCATGAACCTTCCAGAGGAATCAGGGAGTTTCAGGAGTGTTGATACACTAATTTTTTTCAATCTTTTTTCACACATAAGATGAAAAGAAAGTGAACATTTAATTTGTGACTTCAGTGTCACAAGGATAACACTGCTGGCAATATGTGATGCAAGTTTGCAGGCTGTTCCAAATTTGGATTGTTCTGAAGAAGAACGACTACTGGAGTGTTAGTGTGTAGAGGTGTGTGGTATCTGGAATCTGTAATGTCAGATATGCAGTAAAATCAGGAGATCACCATCATACACAACTGAACTATCTATTTTTTTTTTTATTTTTTTATAGCAAATAGACAGACAGAAGCATGTTCCCATCTGTGTTCAAGTGAAGGATAGCTGCAGGTTTCAAGTATGTCTGTGACACAGCTGATGTAACTGTTGTGAACAACAATCTGCCAGGTCTTGTACCATTTGTTTTTTTTTTTTTTTTTTTGGCCTGCCATGGATCCTAACATAAACTAGATTATTATAAGTGTGGATGGACATATTTTTTGTAGCCAAACTCTTCTGTCTGTATATTGGATGTCTTATTTAAAGTTATTCCATACTCATTTTGCCCAAGAACTTGTAACTGTTGACTGGAAGGTCTGGAACAACTTGCCATTTAATAACTTGGGGAGTTATGACACATTTAATTGGATGATCAATGAGAGGATGCATCATAACTCCAATCCAATCTTTCCTGAAGATGAAAAAAAAACTTAGGCTCCAGCACATTTCCTTACAAATGTCACAATAATTTTCCTTTAAAATTAAACAAGAAACTGTGTATCACAGTCATCAAATCATTTTAGTTAAATTAAAAGGCTACTTTGTAAGTAAACAAGAAATTCGAAAACATTTCTATATACAAGGCCCATAGAGCTAGCTTGTATGAAAATCGACACCTATACATGTTCCATTTACATTTGGAGATCAAATAAGTAATAGATCCTTGAGTAAAAATAACAAATACTATGTCTCTGTTTCTGAACTTATTTCTTTTCTCTTCACTTCTATCAATCCCTAACATCAAATAATCCCTCAGTTATAAAGATGTCCGTACAGTAATGACGTATTTCAAGTTTCAATGTTGCTAGCAGTAGCCACAAATAATGTCCTTTTTCAACGTTGCTAGCAGTAGCCATGAATATGTCTACTTTCGAAATGTGTCGTATAATGTTAAGATGATTTTAAAGCACGGAATAAGAGATTCTAACAGCGGAAATCGCTGTGGTCAACAATGATTATCAGAAATGCAAGTGAAAAATATCCTTGTCCCAAGAAAATCTGCTGATTCATGAAATACACAAAAGTTACTGTCATGACGCGTACCGATGGATATGTACAATTATGAATGTCACTATCTCCCAGGACGGCGGTGGCGTCTGCTTCCAGTTCCTCCTCCTCTCTCAGCACATCTACCATCGAAACACAGCTGGTTTCACAGTCATTACTCGTAGATGGCGCCAAACTTTCAGAAGCCATGTTTACGTTCGTTCCGGAAGTGAGATCGCACAGCTTTCCAATAATTGGCTGAAGCGATTAGAATTACAAAATGAAACAAATTACGACGAACATGTGGCCATAACTGATAATGAAATAAAGATACATAAACAAATGAATATATAATTTATATGCAGTTCATTATTTATCTACCGTGTGTTTTTGATGAGTATTTATTTAACCATTTTCATTACAGCCGGACAATTCTGTTCGCTCGACGTTTAGTTAATACTCGAATAAGTAATGTTAGGGTGGGCACCTGATTGTTTAATGCAGATCAAAAAGCAAAATAAGATCGCTAGTTCCTTCCTAATATGACTTGGAGTTTGAACATGGTTTTAATTTCACTTTCATATATATTGATCACGTCTTGTCTTTAAATAACAAAAAAGTTGATTAACTACGTCGATCGCATATACCTACCAGAACTGGAAGTTTACATGTCGCAGATGATTCGATAGTCAAGGGTCTTAAGTGTTCGTGCGAGAAGTCGTAAACTAAGAGGGACAAACTGGTACTGAACACAGGATTTCAAGAGATGCAGATTGATAAAAATATGGAGAAATTTTACGGTCGTCATAGTAACTTCATCTCATTGAGAAATATTTTCTTCTTTGTGCAATATGAAGCTCGACGTGTTTGATGCACTTTAGTTTACCCGTTGATTCCGTTGGTGTATACCTTTTTGTCATTTGAAAACGTGATATTATTTACTTGGATTGACAAATGTTTACATGGCGAGTGTCGTCGTTGAAGCAGGAAACGCTTACTCTTCAGGAACAACTGGTCTTATTTTCTTTGTACCTTTTAAGGAGTCTCCGAGTAACATTTCTTTTGTTCGTATTTTGCCCACGTTTTATTGAATTAGAGTTTGGATTATAATTAAGTTGACAGGTACGTCCAACTAGTCATATCGACGAACGAAATCGGCCAAAGATACAAAAAAATACCAATCCATTTAGTTAGATCCATAATTGCAGTTAGTGGTAATAATAATTTCCAATTATATATGACTGGAATGTTTCCCGTACAATTTATTTTTAAGAAAACTTTTCTTAATTGGTACGAATTTTTAACTAAAAGACATGAGAATATTTCACATTATATTGACGTCCTTACACAAATGATGACTAAATAAGCCACAGATTCGTCGGCTTTTAAATTAATTGCTCAAGTTTAATTTTGTATTTATTCCAGAGATCATTAGCGCGTTTTTATAACAAACAAAGTACTTCTGCTTGATTAATTCGTGTAACAATATATAACAGTGGTAATTAGATTGCTTACGTGTACGGGCCATTCACAGTGTTAATCTCATTTGAATTTTCTGTTATGTTGTATTTGATATTAGATATGTGTAGTGACTGAATTGTCCTATTTCGTCATTTGGTATCAGCTATTTATAGTGATTGATATGTCGTTAATTTGCCATTTGGTATCAGCTATTTGTGGTGATTGATATGTCGTTAATTCGCCATTTGGTATCAGCTATTTGTTGCGATTGATATGTCGTTAATTCGCCATTTGGTATCAGCTATTTGTGGTGATTGATATGTCGTTAATTCGCCATCTGGTATCAGCTATTTGTGGTGATTGATATGTCGTTAATTCGCCATTTGGTATCAGCTATTTGTGGTGATTGATATGTCGTTAATTCGTCATTTGGTATCAACTGTTTGTGGTGATTGATGTGTCGTTTATTCGCCATTTGGTATCAGCTATTTATAGTGATTGATATGTCGTTATTTCGCCATTTGGTATCAACTGTTTGTAGTGATTGATATGTCGTTATTTCGCCATCTGGTATCAGCTATTTATAGTGATTGATATGTCGTTATTTCGCCATTTGGTATCAGCTATATGTGATGAGTGACATAGAGAATACATGGTCAGTCTCTTTAAGATATAAGCTGTATTTTGACAAGGATGAAGAGATACAAAAATGGCAAGCCTCTTGCGTGATACTTTTGTCTTTCTGTACTGAGGTTGAAATGACATTCTATGATTTTCAAATGAAATAAGATCTAAATAAAATCTGGTATTTGAATACGTAACTGTGTTTCAGCCGCTCACGCCGTCAAAATTACAGCGCGCCGCAATCTAATTTCCGAAGCAAAGTTATACCCGGGCATTCATCATGGAAGAGGTACTCGCTGTTTGTGTATTTACTTTTGCCAACCCTTGAAAAATATCTCTTTATTCAAATCAATTCATTTTTATTGCCACGTGTTTTAGGCCGAGGAAGCAAGAGGTGTCAGCACGTATGCACTGACCTGTTATCCAGTCCGACTGAGACCAGGCGAGGAAATCAAACATGAACTGTTGAACGTGGTACAGACCTTAGGTTTACGAGGTGCTTTTGTGCTGACATGTGTCGGAAGTGTGACGAAAGCTACACTGCGAATGTCGGACAGTACCACTGTATGTATAATGTATATCGCATCATATGGTCGGAAATTCGTGCCAAATCCCTGTGGCCACACACATCATCTAAATCTGAAAGTTTCCTCTCTCCATAGACATGGTCATCCTCTGTTTAGGTAATAAATCGAGAGGCTAGTCACACGTTTTAATGAGAGGGCCCCCGGTGTCCCTTTAGCTGTTATGTATTGCATTGTCCAGCGCAGCGGGTTAGTTAAGTGCAGTGTCGCTAGTAGATATTGAAGGATCAGTTATTGCTTTATCGAAAATGTTTATTACTAAGAAAGTTCACATAGTCTTGATCATTATTTTTTACCATTACTCCAGTTTATTCGGATGGATATGTTCATTTACAAAATTACGGACAAGTTCGATAACCAGTAACATGTAAAGTCGTGACGTTTATGTGTTTGACGTAGAAGTAATGTGATAAGCATTTTTAAAGAATGAACAAGTCGGCCATTAAGATATTACACTATAAAGCTACGTATTTGGAGGGATCTGGGAGTAGTTAAAGCGGCATTGTCGTTAAACGGAGATCGGACATCATTTGAATCAGGGATCGAACATTGGCCCTCTGACTTCCTAGTCTTTCACCCTTTCTCTCGTTAAGCGTATATGATTTAATAGAGTTACATGGCCATGTTCTGATGATTATAATATCTTAACTGCTGAAGTTTGGATTGGCGATCAGAAACACGTATTGAGCTCTCACAGCATCTAACCGGCATAGGTACCGTTTCGATTTGGACCATAGCCTGATTGTCATATGACATATGAAAGGCCATTGTTACTGTGTACTGGTTCATCCGTGAACCGGAGGGGTCACACTAAGATGGCGGCGTTTAAGAAAATGGGCAGCTATTACGGGATTTCGATGCATATATCCGATGTTATTTAACATTATTTTACCAAATCATTACACACACTTTTAGACAAAACTTTGGTCTCGACACTACATAAACAAAGGCAGGTATTTACAACATGAAAAGTTAATTTCTGTTCATTTAAAACTGAGCTTCATCCGAAAGCTGACACATCGGTTACTTTCCCGAGTGAATGTGTTAGGGTTATATATGAAATTTTATAACTGCTGAATGTCGTAGTATTCATTTAAAACATTTCATGATCATATTTACGTGATGATGTTTGTACTGATATGAAATGATCATATTTACGTGATGGTGTTTGTACTGATATGAAATGATCATATTTACGTGATGATGTTTGTACTGATATGAAATGATCATATTTACGTGATGGTGTTTGTACTGATATGAAATGATCATATTTACGTGATGATGTTTGTACTGATATGAAATGATCATATTTATGTGATGGTGTTTGTACTGATATGAAATGATCATATTTATGTGATGATGTTTGTACTGATATGAAATGATCATATTTATGTGGTTATGTTTGTACTGATATGAAATGATCATATTTACGTGATGGTGTTTGTACTGATATGAAATGATCATATTTATGTGGTTATGTTTGTACTGATATGAAATGATCATATTTACGTGGTTATGTTTGTACTGATATGAAATGATCATATTTATGTGGTTATGTTTGTACTGATATGAAATGATCATATTTACGTGATGGTGTTTGTACTGATATGAAATGATCATATTTATGTGGTTATGTTTGTACTGATATGAAATGATCATATTTACGTGGTTATGTTTGTACTGATATGAAATGATCATATTTATGTGATGGTGTTTGTACTGATATGAAATTATCATATTTACGTGATGATGTTTGTACTGATATGAAATTATCATATTTATGTGATGATGTTTGTTTATGAAATGACGTGGTTATGTTTGTACTGATATGAAATGATCATATTTATGTGATGGTGTTTGTACTGATATGAAATTATCATATTTACGTGATGATGTTTGTACTGATATGAAATGATCATATTTATGTGGTTATGTTTGTACTGATATGAAATGATCATATTTACGTGGTTATGTTTGTACTGATATGAAATGATCATATTTATGTGATGATGTTTGTACTGATATGAAATGATCATATTTATGTGATGGTGTTTGTACTGATATGAAATGATCATATTTATGTGGTTATGTTTGTACTGATATGAAATGATCATATTTACGTGGTTATGTGATATGTATCATATTTATGATATGTTCCTACTGATATGAAATTATCATATTTATGTGGTTATGTTTGTACTGATATGAAATGATCATATTTATGTGATGATGTTCGTACTGATATGAAATTATCATATTTATGTGATGATGTTCGTACTGATACGAAATCATGTAACAACTGAATGAGCACTAGGAGCATGCCATTTTGAATTTCCATTGGAACGTTCCCTCCTTTGAAAAGTGCGTCTAGGTCTAAACCAATATTCTGATGTTTACTATATGTTTATCACTGTTAAAACGCTAACTAGTGTGATATGTAAACTTTGGAGCTAGAAAACTAAAAGATAAATGAAAATTTCTTGCATCCTAACTGCACCAAATTCCAAGTTACTGCCAAAATCGATGTCGGATTATTACACAGATTTCGAAACTCGTTTGTAACTTTTACTTAGATGACAACATTCGACAACTCTGTTATGATACCTACACCGCAGAAATGTACGCTATCAGCATGTCGGTACCACAGTAATGTGCGCTTTGCCGTCGCCACCTTGATATCTCTGGACTACGTACATTACGGTGTTCTGACCACGTGATCTGGATTACTTCATTTTGATTATATCCTTCTGCTTTTCAGGTGAAGACATTTGAGGGTCACTTTGAGATCGTATCGCTAGTAGGAACTTTGTCCGGCGGAGGTCATCTCCACATTAGTCTCAGCGACGTCGACGGGCATGTCATCGGAGGTCACGTGATTGGTGACTTGGTCGTGTTCACAACTGCGGAAGTCGTTATTGGTAACACAGGGGGTGTGGTTTTTACCAGGGAGTTGGACACTCAGACAGGATATAACGAGCTCATCATTAATTCATAAGTCTCGTGCTTTGCTCTATTACAAACTTGGCGAGCGTCGACACGGAGAATTTATTAAAATGTCTGTTTACCAATATCACTCTCGTCCTACTCAGAAGCGCAGCATTTCGACAGTATATCATTGTGGAATGTAAATAACACGTGCTATATGAACTGCACTGGCAATGCAATGCTCGTATAACGTGACCTTAACTTTAAGGAACATTATATTGATGGATATTTTAAATAACGACAAAAAGTGTGGTTGAACTAGTCAATTTACTTACATTTTCAAATAAGAAGAAATTGAATAACTTGTCCAAACTTACCATTGTCGGGACTAAGTGAAGATCAGACCTTCGCATTGTACATCCGACATGGTATGTCTCTCAAATGCAATTACTTATTAATGAATTACATTATCAGTGTGTCGCACATGTTCATGGTGGCAGTCAAAAGACTCAACTTAGATAAACTATTAACTACATATGTAATAACATGCTGGATAGTCTTACTTGTCGGTTACTAGGTAGCTGTGTTGGTTAGTATAAGTTGACAGTGTCGCTTGTCGGTGATGAGGTAGCTCTGTTGGTTAGTATAACTTGACAGTATCGCTTGTCGGTGATCAGGTAGCTGTGTTGGTTAGTATAACTTGACAGCATCGCTTGTCGGTGATCAGATAGCTGTGTTGGTTAGTATAACTTGACAATGTCGCTTGTCGGTGACTAGGAAGCTGTGTTGTTTAGTAAAACTTGACAGTGTCGCTCGTCGGTGACCAGGTAGCTGTGTTTGTTAGTTTAACTTGACAGTGTCGCTTGTCGGTGACTAGGTAGCTGTGTTGGTTAGTATAACTTGACAGTATCGTTTGTCGGTGATCAGGTAGCTGTGTTGGTTAGTATAACTTCACAGTGTCGCTCGTCGGTGACTATGTAGCTGTGTTGGTGAGTATAAGTTGACAGTGTCGCTCGTCGGTGACTAGGCAGCTGTGTTGGTTAGTATAACTTGACAATGTCGCTTGTCGGTGACTAGGTAGCTCTGTTGGTTAGTTTAACTTGACACTGTCGCTTGTCAGTGACTATGTAGCTGTGTTGGTTAGTTTAACTGGACAGTGTTGGTTTTCGGTGATCAGGTAGCTGTGTTGGTTAGTATAACTTGGCAGTATCATTTGTCGGTGATCAGGTAGCTGTGTTTGTTAGTATAACTTGACAGTATCGCTTGTCGGTGATCAGGTAGCTGTGTTGGTTAGTATAACTTGACAGTGTCGCTTGTCGGTGATGAGGTAGCTGTGTTGGTTAGTATAACTTGACAGTGTCGCTTGTCGGTGATCAGGTAGCTGTGTTGGTTAGTATAACTTGACAGTATCGCTTGTCGGTGATCAGGTAGCTGTGTTGGTTAGTATAACTTGACAGTGTCGCTTGTCGGTGATGAGGTAGCTGTGTTGGTTAGTATAACTTGACAGTGTCGCTTGTCGGTGATCAGGTAGCTGTGTTGGTTAGTATAACTTGACATATCGCTTGTCGGTGATGAGGTAGCTGTGTTGGTTAGTATAACTTGACAGTGTCGCTTGTCGGTGATCAGGTAGCTGTGTTTGTTAGTATAACTTGACAGTATCGCTTGTCGGTGATCAGGTAGCTGTGTTGGTTAGTATAACTTGACAGTGTCGCTTGTCGGTGACTATGTAGCTGTGTTGGTTAGTTTAACTGGACAGTGTTGGTTTTCGGTGATCAGGTAGCTGTGTTGGTTAGTTTAACTTTACACTGTCGCTTGTCGGTGATCAGGTAACTGTGTTGGTTAGTATAACTTGACAGTATCGCTTGTCGGTGATCAGGTAGCTGTGTTGGTTAGTATAACTTGACAGTGTCGCTTGTCGGTGACTATGTAGCTGTGTTGGTTAGTTTAACTGGACAGTGTTGGTTTTCGGTGATCAGGTAGCTGTGTTGGTTAGTATAACTTTACAGTGTCGCTCGTCGGTGACCAGGTAACGGTGTTGGTTAGTTTAACTTTACACTGTCGCTTGTCGGTGATCAGGTAACTGTGTTGGTTAGTATAACTTGACAGTATCGCTTGTCGGTGATCAGGTAGCTGTGTTGGTTAGTATAACTTGACAGTGTCGCTTGTCGGTGATCAGGTAGCTGTGTTGGTTAGTTTAACTTTACACTGTCGCTTGTCGGTGATCAGGTAGCTGTGTTGGTTAGTATAACTTGACAGTGTTGCTTTTCGGTAACAAGATAGCTCTGTTCACTGTTGTTTTGTATAAGTTGTCAGTAACTAAGTTGGTTAATACTGGGACTTGTCTCGTTGGTGTCTAGGTTGCTCAATTGCTTAAGGTTGGAACTAAAGTGTCATTTGTCAGTAACCAGGTATCTCTGTTGGTTTTGGTTAGAACTGAAAATTAGCTCTCATCCTAGACTATGTAACTCTGGTTTGTAGAGATTGCACTTGGCAGCATAGCTTGTCGGTGACTAGTTAGCGTATACATGGATAGAAGGCTAACTTAATTTGATGCATTTGATTCAAATGACATTCACCCCAACAGGCAAGGGTTGGGCATTAAGTTCATTTTTCTTTTTTTTTTTACTTGGAGCTTTTCAACTAATCAGTAGATGTTACAATTGACAATGCAGAACTGTTTACAAATAAGTAAACTACTTTCAGTTAAGCGGGGTATTCGGGTTTTCATAGTTCGAATCGACAAAGTTCGACTGTATAAAAAGATATAACAAGACTGTATAAAAAAAGCGTCAATTCTCTTATTAGCCATTAAAATTAGTCTCAGTTGTTAAGTTCCAATAACAAATACAATACCGAAAGTTAACAAAGGCACAAGATAGCGGCTTTATAACTTCAATTTGGAGACTTTGTTGGCATACACACGAAAACAAAACACAAACCCCATCATCTCAGCCATGAATATATTTTTAATATGAGATTCGCTTGATGATGAGAGAATGTACAAGTATCTGGCCGTCCTTCTCGTAGCTCACGTGCAAACGATATTGTGACATTCTTACTGCAGGAAAAAAGCATGTTGCTGAAAATGAACGGCCTGTTCCCATCACTGTTTCATGTCTTTGTCCGATTCCATCTCAACGGAAGGTCCGCCAAACTACAATCCATACTTTACAGAACGCCCCTGCCGAGTTTACGTTGTGCGCACGTGCATCAATGTGCGTACTCACTCTACCACTCTCTTTTCGTGGCCACACTGAAATACCTTTCATCTGATTAACTGTGATGATAAATCCATCATCTACATATTATATAATTCAATACACGTGTCCCATTACATGCACGTTTTTCTGACAATTAATTGTATATAATTGGTTATTTTGTAAGTGTATTAAGTGTTTAACTTTGGAATGAAAAGTGGATTTAGATGTATATATATATACATTTATAACAAACTGTGATAAGTAAACGTATTAGGGTCTAGTCTTTATATATTAATATATTGCTTTATCACCAGCTCTGTATAAACTCTAAATATATAAAACACTGTCGGAATTTCTCGAGAGTAAAATGCTACAAATATCACTATAATACGTACATACATATATTAAATGTCCCTTAATTATCTTTATAATTTCATATATTTTAAAAACTAGTAATCTAGATGCCCTACACTTCTGTTATTCAACATCTACATCCAAAACAAAACTGTAATCCTGGACAGACGAACCAAGAGACGTACAAATAGCTCGGACGTACAGACAATGGTGTTTTAACCTAAATTACCTACAGATACCATCTAGTGATAAGCGTCATGTAAACTTTTCTCTTGTAAATACTGGTGAAGGCTGTTTGTCGAGTGTTCACAATGATACGAGATATGTCCGTTGTCATTTGACCATGTCTATTAACTGATCACGTGATGGCTATGCATATCTGTCTGAACACTTCTCATGTACATTGGCCAGCGATAGATCATCGTCGTCTTTGGCTTGGATGTCTGTTTGAATTCCTTTCAGTTTCATTTTCAGTTCTTTCAAACTGGAAGCGTACAACATTTTCTCCTTGATATTACACGTGTCCGGATTCCTGTGGACGTAACATAATATATGTTAATGTTATCATCAAGTGGTCCAATGTTATGTATATATACACGTTAAGGTTACCTTTAAGTGATTCTAGGTAATATTTACACTCGTTAGGGTTATCTTTAAGTGATTCTAGGTAATGTTTACACTTGTTAGGGTTATCTTTAAGTGATTCTAGGTAATGTTTACACTCGTTAGGGTTACTATTAAGTGATTCTAGGTAATGTTTACACTCGTTAGGGTTATCTTTAAGTGATTCTAGGTAATGTTTACACTCGGGTTAGGGTAATGTTTATCTTTAAGTGATTCTAGGTAATGTTTACACTCGTTAGGGTTATCTTTAAGTGATTCTAGGTAATGTTTACACTCGTTAGGGTTACTATTAAGTGATTCTAGGTAATGTTTACACTCGTTAGGGTTATCTTTAAGTGATTCTAGGTAATGTTTACACTCGTTAGGGTTACTATTAAGTGATTCTAGGTAATGTTTACACTCGTTAGGGTTATCTTTAAGTGATTCTAGGTAATGTTTACACTCGTTAGGGTTATCTTTAAGTGATTCTAGGTAATGTTTACACTCGTTAGGGTTATCTATAAGTGATTCTAGGTAATGTTTACACTCGTTAGGGTTATCTTTAAGTGATTCTAGGTAATGTTTACACTCGTTAGGGTTATCTTTAAGTGATTCTAGGTAATGTTTACACTCGTTAGGGTTATCTTTAAGTGATTCTAGGTAATGTTTACACTCGTTAGGGTTACTATTAAGTGATTCTAGGTAATGTTTACACTCGTTAGGGTTATCTTTAAGTGATTCTAGGTAATGTTTACACTCGTTAGGGTTAATATTAAGTGATTCTAGGTAATGTTTACACTCGTTAGGGTTATCTTTAAGTGATTCTAGGTAATGTTTACACTCGTTAGGGTTATCTTTAAGTGATTCTAGGTAATGTTTACACTCGTTAGGGTTATCTTTAAGTGATTCTAGGTAAAGTTTTCAGGCGTTAGGTTACACTCGTTAGGGTTATCTTTAAGTGATTCTAGGTAATGTTTACACTCGTTAGGGTTATCTTTAAGTGATTCTAGGTAATGTTTACACTCGTTAGGGTTAAGTTTAAGTGATTCTAGGTAATGTTTACACTCGTTAGGGTTATCTTTAAGTGATTCTAGGTAATGTTTACACTCGTTAGGGTTATCTTTAAGTGATTCTAGGTAATGTTTACACTCGTTAGGGTTATCTTTAAGTGATTCTAGGTAATGTTTACACTCGTTAGGGTTAACTTTAAGTGATTCTAGGTAATGTTTACACTCGTTAGGGTTACTATTAAGTGATTCTAGGTAATGTTTACACTCGTTAGGGTTATCTTTAAGTGATTCTAGGTAATGTTTACACTCGTTAGGGTTATCTTTAAGTGATTCTAGGTAATGTTTACACTCGTTAGGGTTATCTTTAAGTGATTCTAGGTAATGTTTACACTCGTTAGGGTTATCTTTAAGTGATTCTAGGTAATGTTTACACTCGTTAGGGTTATCTTTAAGTGATTCTAGGTAATGTTTACACTCGTTAGGGTTATCTTTAAGTGATTCTAGGTAATGTTTACACTCGTTAGGGTTATCTTTAAGTGATTCTAGGTAATGTTTACACTCGTTAGGGTTATCTTTAAGTGATTCTAGGTAATGTTTACACTCGTTAGGCTTATCTTTAAGTGATTCTAGGTAATGTTTACACTCGTTAGGGTTACTATTAAGTGATTCTAGGTAATGTTTACACTCGTTAGGGTTATCTTTAAGTGATTCTAGGTAATGTTTACACTCGTTAGGGTTACTATTAAGTGATTCTAGGTAATGTTTACACTCGTTAGGGTTATCTTTAAGTGATTCTAGGTAATGTTTACACTCGTTAGGGTTATCTTTAAGTGATTCTAGGTAATGTTTACACTCGTTAGGGTTATATTTAAGTGATTCTAGGTAATGTTTACACTCGTTAGGGTTATATTTAAGTGATTCTAGGTAATGTTTACACTCGTTAGGGTTACTATTAAGTGATTCTAGGTAATGTTTACACTCGTTAGGGTTACTATTAAGTGGTTCAGGGTTATATTGACATTGCGACAAGGTGGCCGTCCTATGTCTCCTGCCGCGCATACTCTAGCATTGTTGGAATACTCGGTGAGCCCGTTGGCCGACATAAATTAAACATTTTTCTGTGCTATATCTCCTACAAACTAATAGCTTAAACTTCATTTTCGGGACAGGGATTAGTGACTACACGAGGTTGTGTGTCACGTATCAAAAGTAGGTCACGCTCACCTACTTTTGACCTTTAACTTACACAAGGCATATGGTGTTACCTGTAAGTGGTTCAAAGTTAGGTGTAAACGTGCTAAACATAACCATCACTGAAATGTAACCTTATCTTCAGGTTACATGAAAGTGAGGGTTATGCTTTCTTGCTCGTGGATTTGTTTACAAGCAAGTTTATTTCTGCCAGATGAAGCAGTATTAACTAATATCCACGGATTTTTTTTCTCTTGTTGGATTTTAAAATTAGAAAACAAACGTTGATTGACAAAATTGTAAGGAGTGTGTTTACACGTGTATGGGGGTGGTTTACATATGTTGAAAGTGGTGTGTCACGTGTTAGGTGTGGGTTCATACATGTTAGGAGTTGGAACAGACATGTTAGAAATGGTTTTAAATATATGTAAGGAGTGCGTTTACACACGTTACGATTGCAAATAGCACGTGTAAGATTTACGTACATGTAAGGATTGTGGTTGCGCATGACAGAAGCACGTTTACTTGTGTAAGGGTTTTGTTCATGCGTGGAAGGAATGCGATTACACTACAAAATAGTGTTAATGTAAAATCTAGTGTAATAATTGTGTTGATAAGTGTAACGAGTTGTGTTGACACGTGTAAGAAATACGTTTACAATTGTATGGGTTGTGTTTACATGTGTTGTGAATACGTTTACAATTGAATGGGTTGTATTTACACGTATTGGGAATACGTTTACAATGGTATGGGTTGTGTTTACACATGTTGGAAATACGTTTACAATGGTATGGGTTGTGTTTACACGTGTTGTGAATACGTTTACAATTGTACGGGTTGTATTTACACGTGTTGTGAATACCTTTACAATTGAATGGGTTGTGTTTACACATGTTGGGAATACGTTTACAATTATATGGGTTGTGTTTACACGTGTTGGGAATACGTCTACAATTATATGGGTTGTGTTTACATGTGTTGGGAATACGTTTACAATTATATGGGTTGTGTTTACACGTGTTGGGAATACGTTTACAATTATATGGGTTGCGTTTACGTTTTTAATTGTATGGGTTGTATGTTATTAATGTTATAACGATACAATGTATGTTTTCTATGTGAATATGTTATCTTTTATGCTATCTATGTTAATATGTAAACCACTATGTCATAACTTGTGGTATACAGGGCACTTGATTTCGACACCGAGACTGGCCTGAACTCACCAGTGGAAGAATGCAAGTTTTTCCTTGATTATGGGTGGTGCATTCATTTGCACATCAAACACGCCATATCGACAATGTCCTCCTGCCTTCAACTGTTCTTGAAATGTTTCGTACGTATCATCTGAAATGGACAAAGAAAATTTTGAAACATATTAATGCAGCATATACATGTATATACTGTACAAAAAGCCCTTATTCAGCATTCTTACAAATATTACGTACATAGATAAACACTAAAGGCCCTCATCTGTCAACCCTACCAACTCACGTGCACAGGTACCAACAGATATTACGTACAAAGGTACGAACAAACATCACGTACACGGGTACCAACAGACATTACGTACAAAAATAACAACAAACATCGTGTACATTGGTACCAACAGATATTACGTACAAAGGTGACAAACATCACGTACAGAGGTACCAACAGATATTATGTACAAAGGTACGAACAAACATCACGTACATTGGTACCAACAGATATTATGTACAAAGGTACCGACAAACATCAGGTATACGGGTACCAACATATATTAGGTACAAAGGTGACAACAAACATCACGTACACTGGCTCCAACAGATATTACATACAAAGGTGACAACAAACATTAAGTACACTGGTACCAACAGATATTACATACAAAAATAACAACAAACATGTGCACTAGTACCAACAGATATTACATACAACAAGAGATCCCAGAGGGATCTTGGCGCCCACCATTTGAGGATCTGTTTTCAGTTCTTGAAGATTTGTTTATTTTTTTTTTTTTGGTGTTACAGGTTTTGTAAATGTTCATGAACTGGTCTTCATTGAATGTACTCAATGATGGCACAAGATATTTTTATTAAGCACCTATTAGCAAATATCATTTGAAAAAGATCCCAAAGTATTATTAGATCAGTCAGTTACAGGTGGATAATGGAGATGGTCTTGAATCAATATGATAGAATATCTAAGAAAATATGCTTGTGCTGTATTACTGACATCCAAGATAGCTGCCTGTGGGGCAACTTGAATTCAAATCAGTCCAGAAAATGCACAACTAGGGACCAAGGGTAACCTGCATATGAAATTTGAGAAAGATCCATCCAGTACTTTCCCAGAACGAGCAGTAACAAGATTTTACTCTCAAAATCCAAGATGGCTGCCTGTCAGCCATCTTCATTTCAGATCAGTCCAAAAAGGTACAATGCACAACTAGGGACCAAGGGGAACCTGCATATGAAATTTGAGAAAGATCCATCCAGTACTTTCCCAGAAATAGCGGTAACAAACTTTTACTTTCAACCTCCAAGATGGCCACCTGTCAGCCATCTTGAATTCAAATCAGTCCAAAAAATGTACAATGCACAACTAGGGACCATTGGGAAACTGCATATGAAATTTGAGAAAGATCCATCTAATACTTTCCCAGAAATAGCGGTAACAAGAATTGTTTATGGATGGACGGACCACGGACCATCTGCTGATGGTGGGCTAAAAATAATAACAAACATCACGAACACTGGTACCAACAGATAGTACGTACAAAGTTACAAACAAACATCATGTGCACAGGTACCAACAAACATCATGTACATTGGTACCAACAGATATTACGTACAAAGGTGACAAACATCAGGTACACGGGTACCAACATATATTACGTACAAAAATAACAACAAACATCACGTGCACCTGTAACAATATTACGTACAAAGGTGACAAAAAACATCACATACACGGGTACCAACAGATATTACGTACAAAGGTAACAACAAACATCACGTGCACGGGTACTAACAGATATTACGTACAAATGTACGAACAAACATCAGGTACACGGGTACCAACAGATATTACATACAAATGTAAAACATCACGTTCACGGGTACCAACAGATATTACACATAAAAGTACCAACAAACGTCAGGTGATGCTCACACCTGGCGTTCTTACACATTACGTGTACATGTATCTACTAAAGGCTCTCACCTGCAGACGTTTGTTCTACCACTATCTCCTTTTTGTCTTCAGAGATTTTGAATATCACATACTTCCATTTGTGCCCAAGTTTCATTTCTTCAAATACCTTCATGCACTCATCTTTGACAGTTACTCCGGACGTCTGTAAAAGTATTGTATCAAGTATACAACAACTAAGCATGTATTTGAAGTGTTAATCTATGAGCACAATACATATTTACTTCTGGGTTTAACGGCCAAGGTCTGAGGCTGGGTTTTCTTACAGTAGCTGATGGTTACCGGTCAATCATGTATGTGAAGATCAGTAAATGTACTCTAATGAATTTACCAGCCGACCATATAGGTGTGGTCAAGTAAGGTAATCTAATCAATATAACAGCCGACTATATAGGTGTAGTCTAGCGATGTAGTCCAATTAATATACCAGCCAACTATATAGGTGTAGTCTAGGGGTGTAGTCCCATCAATATACCAGCCGACTATATAGGTGGAGTCTAGGGCTGTAGTCCCATCAATATACAAGCTGACTATATAAGTGTAGTCTAGGGGTGTAGTCCCATCAATATACAAGCCGACTATATAGGTGTAGTCTAGGGGTGTAGTCCCATCAATATACCAGCAGACTATATAGGTGTAGTCTAGGCGTGTAGTCCCATCAATATACAAGCCGACTATATAGGTGTAGTCCCATCAATATACCAGTCGACTAAATAGGTGTAGTCTAGGGGTGTAGTCCCATCAATATACCAGTCTAGGGGTGTAGTCCCATCAATATACCAGCCGACTATATAGGTGTAGTCTAGGGATGAAGTCACATCAATATACAAGCCGACCATATAGGTGTAGTCTAGGGGTGTAGTCCAATTGATATACCAGTCGACTATATAGGTGTAGTCCCATCAATATACCAGTCGACTATATAGGTGTAGTCTAGGGATGAAGTCACATCAATATACCAGCCGACCATATAGGTGTAGTCTAGGGGTGTAGTCCAGTCGATATACCAGCCGACTATTTTGGTGTAGCCCAATTAATATACCAGCCAACTGTATAGTTGTAGTCTAGGGATGAAGTCCCATCAATATACAAGCCGACCATATAGGTGTAGTCTAGGGGTGTAGTCCCATCAATATACAAGCCGACCATATAGGTGTAGTCTAGGGGTGTAGTCCAATCAATATACCAGCCGACTATATTATACTAAACACTGAATCTGATAGCTGGCGTGTAGTTGGTAGATATTTTCTCTCTAAATTAAATGAAAGTATGATATGAAGTATTTTTTATGTACATGTTCTGATTTGAAAAGAAGCAATTTTGACAGAATATTGTCAAAATTCTACTCTGACAGTTTGAAAGCTTGGTCAAAATTTTTGAGTCTTAGGCAAATTACCAGTAAAATAGACTTAATGAACCAAAATCTCTTTTGTAGTATTCATTTTCAATCTCAGAATAAACCTCTTGTTTTTCCATCTTTTCTAAAAAGTGAAATTGAAATTAAAATAGGAATTCCATTCCTTGACATTTTATTCAAATAATGAAAGACCAAGATCAAGAAACAATAAATCTATTGACATTTAAACCAGATATTTTTGTAAACGAAAATTTTCAGATTTGCTTAAATATGAAAAACAAAATGAAAATATTGGAAAGTAAAGACATAAAATTGAAACTATTACAACAATTCTTAGTCAAAACTTCTAAGCCTAGATCAGAAAAAAAAAGTGTGAAACAAAGTTAGAAATGACTTTTGACTGGGATAAAATATGGAATAATTGTTGTAACAAATTAATTGTTGCAGAAAATGAAATAAAAGAATTTCATTGGAAAGCAATTCATCAAATCATATATACAGAATACAAACTAAGTCTCATGAATATATCTGATGGCACCTGCCACTTGTGCAGAAAGCAAATTATTGAAACCCAAAATCATTTGTTTTATCATTGTAAATTTACAGAACAGTTCATAACTTTAGTACAAAATGAACTATTACCTGAAACACCAGGAATCATAACCGAAGTAAGTTTCAAAATTTCTACATACCCTACAAAATTCTGCTTTAGAAGTTTAAATGGTATTCTGAATATACATATTCGACTTGGATCGTGGATGTGCCGGACTAGGTACAATCGTTTACATGATTACATTCTTTACTCCTTATTCAGTGGCGATTTGACTTATTGTATATGTATTTAAGTACAAATTCTAAATTATTTCTAGTATTCTTCTAGAAAAACCCACGAAATTTGCAACAAAATTTATATTTACCATCCTCCTTGTGCAGCCGGAAATACGTTTTGATGTTAATACATTTTGTAACGGAGCATGGTAATGTATATCCGGACTTATATAAATTAAGTATTTATGAATGAATGAATGAATGAATGAATGAATGAATGAATGAATGAATGAATGAATGAATGAATGAATGAATAGGTATGACGAAAAAAAATAAATGGGCGAATGAATGAAAAAGATGAGGAAGGTAATAGTACGAATGATAGTATCACGACACAGTACTTGTACCTGCACACTATCTAAAATGACAGAGTATTATCAGAGACGTATATATCACATATATACGTCTCTGGTATTATAAATCAAACATTTGAACACGAGTTTCAAAATTTCTACATACCCTACAAAATTCTGCTTTAGAAGTTTAAATGGTATTCTGAATATACATATTCGACTTGGATCGTGGATGTGCCGGACTAGGTACAATCGTTTACATGATTACATTCTTTACTCCTTATTCAGTGGCGATTTGACTTATTGTATATGTATTTAAGTACAAATTCTAAATTATTTCTAGTATTCTTCTAGAAAAACCCACGAAATTTGCAACAAAATTTATATTTACCATCCTCCTTGTGCAGCCGGAAATACGTTTTGATGTTAATACATTTTGTAACGGAGCATGGTAATGTATATCCGGACTTATATAAATTAAGTATTTATGAATGAATGAATGAATGAATGAATGAAATGAATGAATGAATGAATGGATGAATGAATGAATAGGTATGACGAAAAAAAATAAATGGGCGAATGAATGAAAAAGATGAGGAAGGTAATAGTACGAATGATAGTATCACGACACAGTACTTGTACCTGCACACTATCTAAAATGACAGAGTATTATCAGAGACGTATATATCACATATATACGTCTCTGGTATTATAAATCAAACATTTGAACACGAGTTTCAAAATTTCTACATACCCTACAAAATTCTGCTTTAGAAGTTTAAATGGTATTCTGAATATACATATTCGACTTGGATCGTGGATGTGCCGGACTAGGTACAATCGTTTACATGATTACATTCTTTACTCCTTATTCAGTGGCGATTGGACTTATTGTATATGTATTTAAGTACAAATTCTAAATTATTTCTAGTATTCTTCTAGAAAAACCCACGAAATTTGCAACAAAATTTATATTTACCATCCTCCTTGTGCAGCCGGAAATACGTTTTGATGTTAATACATTTTGTAACGGAGCATGGTAATGTATATCCGGACTTATATAAATTAAGTATTTATGAATGAATGAATGAATGAATAGGTATGACGAAAAAAAATAAATGGGCGAATGAATGAAAAAGATGAGGAAGGTGATAGTACGAATGATAGTATCACGACACAGTACTTGTACCTGCACACTATCTAAAATGACAGAGTATTATCAGAGACGTATATATCACATATATACGTCTCTGGTATTATAAATCAAACACTTGAACACGAGTTTCAAAATTTCTACATACCCTACAAAATTCTGCTTTAGAAGTTTAAATAGTATTCTGAATATACATATTCGACTTGGATCGTGGATGTTAGTGAGGCGGTTCTCGCTACTCCCTATCCACGCCGGCGAATCTGTATTTCAATATAAAGTCTGATATATTTTCCAATGCTTTGTCTACGTGTACAATTTGTATATGTGTGGTGAGTGAGAGCCCTCTTGCATGAGGACATACTATAAGTATATTGTATACCTACGTGCTTTTGTTGACATCTAATGAATTTGTTATAAAAAAAAAAAAAATGGGAAACGTAATAACGACATTTTCAGTAATCAATCTGGTTCACATTCTTGTGCATAAGTTCTTTTGTCGTATATTGTATTAGGATTAACGGAACATCAAATGTCCATGATAATTTTGACACCAGAATCTTCTGCACGTGTTTGTAGTGTACGGTTACCATCTATAACTGTTGCGTCAGTTATACAGAAGTGTACGGTTACCATCTGTAACTGCTGACATCAGTTATACAGAAGTGTCGACTGTTACGGTTACCATCTGTAACTGTTGACATCAGTTATACAGAAGTGTCGACTGTTATGGTTACCGTCTGTAACTGTTGACATCAGTTATACAGTAGTGTCGACTGTTACCGTCTGTAACTGTTGACATCAGTTATAAAGTAGTGTCGACTGTTACGGTTACCGTCTGTAACTATTGACATCAGTTATACAGTAGTGTCGACTGTAAATGTTATCGCCTGTAATTGTTGACACCAGTTATACAGAAGTGTCGACTGACACCGTCTGTAACTGTTGACATCAGTTATACAGTAGTGTCGACTGTTACCGTCTGTAACTATTGACATCAGGTATACAGTAGTGTCGAGTGTGTTTAGGTTACCGTCTGTAAATGTTGACATCAGTAATACAGTAATGTCGAGTGTGTTTAGGTTACCGTCTGTAACTGTTGACATCAGTTATACAGTAGTGGCGACTGTTATCGCCTGTAACTGTTGACACCAGTGATACAGTAGTGTCGACTGTAAATGTTACCGCCTGTAATTATTGACATAAGTTATACAGTAGTGTCGACTGTTACCGTCTATAACTGTTGACATCAGTTATACAGTAGTGTCGACTGTTACCGTCTGTAACTGTTGACATCAGTTATACAGTAGTGTCGACTGTTACCGTCTGTAACTGTTGACATCAGTTATACAGTAGTGTCGACTATTACGGTTACCTTCTGTAACTATTGATATTAATTATACAGAAGTGTCGACTGTTACGGTTACCGTCTGTAACTGTTGACATCAGTTATACAGTAGTGTCGACTGTAACGGTTACCGTCTGTAACTATTGACATCAGTTATACAGTAGTGTCGACTGGTACGGTTACCGTCTGTAACTGTTGACATCAGTTATACAGTAGTGGCGACTGTTATCGCCTGTAACTGTTGACACTAGTGATACAGTAGTGTCGACTGTAAATGTTACCGCCTGTAATTATTGACATCAGTTATACAGTAGTGTCGACTGTTACCGTCTATAACTGTTGACATCAGTTATACAGTAGTGTCGACTGTTACCGTCTGTAACTGTTGACATCAGTTATACAGTAGTGTCGACTGTAACTGTTGACATCAGTTATACAGTAGTGTCGACTGTTATCGCCTGTAACTGTTGACACCAGTTATACAGTAGTGTCGACTGTAAATGTTACCGCCTGTAATTGTTGACATCAGTTATACAGTAGTGTCGACTGTTACCGTCTGTAACTGTTGACATCAGTTATACAGTAGTGTCGACTGTTACCGTCTGTAACTGTTGACACCAGTTATACAGTAGTGTCGACTGTTACCGTCTGTAACTGTTGTCATCAGGTATACAGTAGTGTCGAGTGTGTTTAGGTTACCGTCTGTAACTGTTGACATCAGTTATACAGTAGTGTCGATTATTACGGTTACCGTCTGTTACCGTCTGTATATGTAGACACTTGAGACGGGTTCCTCGCTTCTATTCATGATGTTGCTGTCTGATAACTACAAGAGGTAGCACAAGACTATAACAATTTCAGTTTAGAGTTTACAATTAAAACGTGGATTTTTGCCCAATGTTTGCAGTTTTCCGAAGTAGTATTCTCGACCTGTGGGGCCTGATTTAAGTAAGGAGGGGGATGGTGTACTTGAGTTGATGCTTCACTGCGTCATGTGTGCTATTTTCGTTCTCTTCACACCAGTCGTGTACCTCTGTTCGGTATAACCATTAATGACAACAAACATCAAATCGCTTTTATCATTGAAGTCTTAATACTCTCTCCCTGATCTGTGGATATCTACCAGTATCCTCCCTTTTATAACGCCAGCCAGTTTTGTGTCTCAACCCAAGTAAACTGGATTGCTTTCAGATGAATGTTTTCGGAACAGACTGAACAGATTTACCTCAACCGAAAGCAGCAATCCAGTTGAGAAACACGAAGTATAACCTTGAACTGTGACGGTATGGCCAACTATCCACCTACTCCTCTAAAGATAGCGTTATTGTTCTTGACAGTCACAGCTATATAGGGTTGCAAGGTACCGCAAGCCACTCTGTGAGAGAATGCGCAATTACATTCAACAACAACACCCCCACCCCCAACCATGCATCCACACCCCTTTCCCCACCCACGAGTGTAAAGAATGCCAACTCTGGCGAAGTTTTGTCCTATTCTCGCGAGCGTGATTTTACATTCGAGTAATCTTCAAATGAACGTTTGATAAACCTTTCTTTGCTGTGACATGTATTTCATTTTTGTTACTGCTCCACTAAATGATATTCAAAATATCTTCATAAAATGATAGTCTTCGTTGCCACCAAGTGTACATCGAAAATTGTTTCTTGGTTTTAATAAAACAGTTTCGATAATGCAATCAGTTCTTTTCCCATTGTTTTGGTTACTGTAACCGATCAGAAAGTACTGTTGAGAATTTCTCCATGCTTTACATCCGTTCCCTTAACTTGAATCCATCACTTCTTTTCATTTATAACACGCTTAGTAAATCAAAACGTGTACGCACATTGGTAATATGTCCTCGCCACCGGACTGTTTAAATGTGGATAATAATATATGTAAAACTTCCGGTATAACGTCATATCCGGTGCATCTTGTAGTATTAATAGGACAAATCGCACGACTTCCTGATCATTCCAATAAAGATTGAGTTTGTTGATATTGGTTTGGACACATGCCTGACCGACAGCTGCAGATTGTCTTTTGAAACAGCTGGTATCATTCAGACAGAGTTTCAGCAGAACAACCTTCACACAGTAGTCACGCACCACTGTAACACGCGGCAACGACTTTCTCGGACACTTCGTGCTCTCCTTACTCTCGGTATGCCCCCGTTATTGGATTGGTGTTGAAGCTGGTCGTTAAGCTTTATTGTTGAATCTGCTCCAAATTATTTCGTTTCCGGAAACAGGCTTAAACTTAAATGAATTGTTTATTGATAACTCTCATCAAACATAACTTGTTCCTGGTATGCAGGATACAGCCATTGGATCCCTGGTGATTCGTGTATGGATACAGGTGTGAAACCGTATATAGCCCGTTTTTGGATACACACATCATACCTTAGGTGATTCATTTCCGGATATAGGCTTACAGTCTTGAATATATCGTTTCCAGAAACAGGTTTAAAACCTTATGATCCATTTCCCGATACAGGCATCAGACCTTTAATAATCAATTTCTGGATACAGGTTTTAGACCCCAGATGATTCATTTCCGGAAACAGTGTTGAGCCCTGATGATGTCAAAGCAAAACACTGAGACTAGCCTAGGCTTTCTGTAGATGTCGATTATATTAAATACCTAGATCATACTATTAACTCGATATGGGAGGTCAAGACCAAACGGAAGCAAGGAGAGCCAAGCCAGAGCTGTTGGCATAGCTTTGTAAAGTATGGCACACGTGACAATCTGTTCTGGAGTAGGGCAGCGGAATCCGGGGTAGAATTGATTGGACTCGGGGTAAGACAAATATTAAGGAGATGCTGACTTACGGGTGCACCGCTAGTGTATCGTTGTCCCTGCCACGTTAGAAACGCCATAAGAAGTCCTCTGCCTGCTTACTTGTTTATCCAGTGCTACGTTACAGTCTCTGCGGAGAAGTGCTCGTACGAAATGCACATGCATTCCATCGTATATTACGTGTATAGTGCTCAGCTTAGCTACGAGTGTGTTTATCAAAACCACATTTCTGTCGGTGTGTACATATATATCGACTGTGGTATGATGGGAGATCTTCCTTATTGAAGTTCTGTCCGCGTACATTCCTCTCCATTATAACTAGAACACGTCTCCTCATCAGTCACTCGAAACACCCGGCAATGTGTCCCGTGTTGATGAGTCTTTGCATACTCCTTACATAAATATTATGTTGATAGCCTAATAATCGTATCTATGTTATGACTAGCCTAATATTAACATTTACAAGCAGTACCAAATACCACAATTACTACCTAACGGACAGTACCGTAGTTCTAGATAGGCCGATCCTGCAGCACTTCATTAACAGCATTTCACTGTTAGTAAGAATAGTTTGGATGTTGGAGACGTTTTCTATCAACAGATCTTTTTTTGAATATATCAACAATGAAGAGTGACGACGAAATATGACACTATGACGCGTCAGCGTAATGTGGGTGGATGAAATTATGTTACAATATGAAATGACAACGTCGAGATGGCGGTTGTCAAGAGAGCTGTTGGGAACGTAAAGATGTCAAAATATCTGTTGACAACTATTTTTTTCAGATTTTGTTATCAATGTTTTTTAATCAAAATATATGTTAGCAATAGTCAATATAGATGAAGTTAAGGCTCACGGCTCGGTGTTCACCTCGAAGTCACTTAATTTTGTCTATTTCTACAACTATGTTTACTGGAATTTGCAGGCAGGTAAAAAAATTCCATTCAGTAACACTTGAGAAATTTCCTCCAAGTCTAAGATTCGAGAAAAGTTACCCTTGAGCAACAGCCCCAAATAGCGTTCACATAGAACATCATTGACCTACCTAGAGTGAGTAAGGAATTGGGAAAAAACGGCGTTTGATATCGATAATTCACCGGCTTTAAGGGTTTCTAAATGCGAAAATGGTGCATGAACCATACCTCATAATTAATTGCCGAGACAATGAAAACACAAGTTCATGAGAAATTTGTATCATATGTTAAGATTGATACAGTTTATCGTAAGTGAGGACGTTGAAACTATGATTAAAATTTAGTTTAAACAATTCTGTCAATTGATGTTTATAGTAACGATGACATAATTGTTTGACCGTTGAATCTTAAAACGCGAACTCATTTAAGAGGTGATGTTTATGAAAATGTATGCTGTAGAGCGGTAACATTGAAAATTCTGTTCTTTTTTATTTAAAGTGACGTTGACATAGTTTATAACCGCAGAAAGTTGAAACGCAAACTTTCATGTCAATCGGAAAAGAAATGCAGTTTGTAGAGCATTGTAGTAAAAAAAACTCTGTCAATTTCTACTTTTCAGTGACAATGACCTAGTTCTTTTTGGCCGAATAAGATCGAAACGCGAAATTTTACAAGAGGTTATGTTTGTGAACATGTGTGTAAATAATTCTGACCACCGGAAAAGAAATCAAGTATGTAGAGCGGTGGCGTCATAGTATTGTCAATATCTATTTCAAGTAACGATGACCTAGTTTTTAACAAGAGAAGACGAAAACGCAAGCTCGTACAAACGGTATTGTTTGTGAACACGTGTGTGAAGTATCGTGACATTAGGATAAGAAATCCAGTCCCAAGAGCGGTGTCGTCGTTTGGGATACGTACGAACTTCAGAACGAGAAGATCTATACATACCCTCGTCGACTTCCGTCGTGTGGGTATAATACACATCAACGAGAGAAGACAAATGTCTCAGGTTTTAGAGAAGACAAATGTAACCAGTCAGGTCTGAGAGAAGACGAATGTGACAAGTCAATTCTAAGAGAAGATAAGTGTTACTAGAAAGGTCTGAGAGAAGACAAGTGTTACCTTTCAGGACTTAGAAAAGACAAGTGTTACAACTCAGATCTGAGAAAACACAAGTGTTACTAGTAAGGTTTTAAAGAATACAAGTGTTACTAGTCAGGTTTTAGAGAAGACAAATGTAACCAGTCAGGTCTGAGAGAAGACACATGTGACAAGTCAAGTCTAAGAGAAGAAAAGTGTTACTAGTCAGTATTTAGAGAAGACAAGGGTTACTAGTCAGGTTTTAGAGATGACAAGTGTTACTAGTCAGGTTTTAGAGAAGACAAGAGTTACTAGTCAGGTTTTAGAGAAGACAAGGGTTACTAGTCAGGTTTTAGAGAAGACAAGGGTTACTAGTCAGGTTTTAGAGCACAAGTGTTACTAGTCAGGTTTTAGAGAACACAAGTGTTACTAGTCAGTTTTTAGAGAACACAAGTGTTACTAGTCAGGTTTTAGAGAAGATAAGGGTTACTAGTCAGGTCTAAGTGAAGACAAAGGTTACCAGTCAGGTTTTAGATAATACAAGTGTTACTAGTCAGGTTTTAGGGAACACTAGGTTACTAGTCAGGTTTTAGAGAATACAAGTGTTACTAGTCAGGTTTTAGAGAAGACAAGGGTTACTAGTCAGGTCTAAGAGAAGACAAAGGTTACTAGTCAGGTTTTAGATAATACAAGTGTTACTAGTCAGGTTTTAGGGAACACTAGGTTACTAGTCAGGTTTTAGAGATGACAAGGGTTACTAGTCAGGTCTAAGAGAAGACAAAGGTTACTAGTCAGGTTTTAGATAATACAAGTGTAACTAGTCAGGTTTCAGGGAACACTAGGTTACTAGCCAGGTTTTAGAGAATACAAGTGTTACTAGTCAGGTTTTAGAGATGACAAGGGTTACTAGTCAGGTCTAAGAGAAGACAAAGGTTACTAGTCAGGTTTTAGATAATACAAGTGTTACTAGTCAGGTTTTAGGGAACACTAGGTTACTAGTCAGGTTTTAGAGAAGACAAGGGTTACTAGTCAGGTCTAAGAGAAGACAAAGGTTACTAGTCAGGTTTTAGATAATACAAGTGTAACTAGTCAGGTTTCAGGGAACACTAGGTTACTAGCCAGGTTTTAGAGAATACAAGTGTTACTAGCCAGGTCTGAGAGAAGACTAAAGTACCTGCTCAGGTCTGAGAGATGATAAGTGTTACTAGTCAGGTCTATCAAAAGCCAAATGCAACCGAAATACTTTATATAGAATAGATATATTATCGATGGACACTGCCTGAAATAGAGAAAAATCCATACCATAGTTCCTGCATGACCCCGCATCTCTGTTTTTAGTGGCCTGACTTTGTCTGTTCCATTTAAATCATTTGTTGAAGAATTCTTCATAAGAAAATATGCTTAAAGTCTTCAAAATGCTAACCTATGAGAAAATGAGAACGACAAAAAGGATTTACACAGTATTCTATCTAAAACGCTGCCTCTCTATACTAACATAAAGCCTTTATCATGGGTTCCATTGTATTATGTGATGCTAAATTTCTTTTGACATAATTTCAAAAATAAAATTTGAAATAGGCATCAATTACAATAACAGATTACGTCGAATCACATTCACAAAGTTTTGTAGATTACATTGATGGTTGAAATTAGAAAAAAAGCCGATTCTGTCGCTTGATGTGTCATACTCTTTATACAAACAAAGGAAACGTGTCGAATAATGTTCTAGCCCTATCGGACTGTAGCTTTGTCCACGACAATGTTGTAACATATAACTAAATTTCTATGGCACTAATGATGTTCAAAATCTGTTAAGCATTTCTTGCCTAGAAGTTTTCAAACACAAACTTCAGTGACGCCACACTTCAGTATAAACTCATTGTCTTTAGTTTACCGAACAACTTGATACTGGACAATACAATAGTGGAATTTAATTTCGATAATTTCCTTTTGTACTTAATGTAGATAATAGACGCCTTAATTACACCGACCGGCTCAGAATTCTATGATGTTTTCCTGAAACCTATGACACGAATAGATCTCCTACAGAGGGCTGCCAAGTAGTCCTTGAGTGAGAGTGTATTAACTCCGGCGCGTGTGCTCACGAGCGTTCACGCGCCGTCGACGAAGTCTGTACATATGCCAGCGATGGGCGTAGATATCGGGGAGGGACACTACATACAGTATCTACGTTGTACACAGCGGGTAGCACGGGAGGTGAGCGTTATCTCTAGCATATAACAATGTAGAGCAGGATTCAGTACACCTTGGTTCCAGTAAACATCCAAGCTACAGCTGAATTTAATCTAGAGGCTTGGAACAGGAATTAACTTTCATTTGTATAAATATTGTTTTATACACCTGGACTACGAACTACCAAATTTTAAAGGGTTTGTTTATTGTCTATAAAGCGTTTATTTACTCACTCAAAGTTAACACAACAAGAACTGACGTAACGTGCTGTTCATTAACCCGGAAGCAAATCTACTACTTGATAGTCAGATGACACGTGCCACAAATTTCTAGTACACGTGGAGACCTTCCACTGAGGGTCATTTTCCTCACTCCCGTCTAGCATGACGTCACAAGGATGATTCGGAGTCTTGCTGTGGTGTGGAGCGAAGTCGCATATTGTGTGTAACTAACACATTCCAAGTTTCACAGCCCAATGGGTAAAATACCTCCCTGTACAGTTCAGCGGGACCATTGTTAGCACAAACTCAACTACCTTCAGAGTGTAAAAATATTCGTGTATCACGCTGCAAGTCTCCGTCATATATCTTTGTGTTGGCATAGTGCAAGCAGTCTACAGAAACAGCTAGAAAAGGCACATACAAAACATTCCATAACCAACAAACTTGAGTTTGTCTACTTACATGCATAATCTATACACAGCGTCATGTTTAACACATGTCTCTAACACTGCGGTATTTTTTCGACACTTAATTTATACATAGACATGTGCTTAATATCGAAGTCTTTTTCGGCACGTATATATTGTGTCACGTTGAACACACGTTTCTAACATTTCAGTCTTTTTCGACACTTAATTTATACAGGCATATCTCTAATATTGAAGGCTTTTTCAACACTTGTATACATAGACATATGTCTAATATTGAAGGCTTTTTCAACCAATGTATA